TGATAGACCACAGTTCAGGTTCGAGTTGAACACTCAGAACAGAAACTGAACTGAAGGATGATACTACAAAGGACATCTTCACGTCAGTCAGTCAGTCAATCATCAGGACAAAGTGGGAGATATTGAGCATCATCCCTGAATAAACCTGTATGGAAGAACGCTGGGACTCGTTGAAGGCTATGTGGAAAGAAACCTGCATAACCCTATTAGGAAGGAAGAAGAGGAGGCAAGACAAGACAAGACAAGGAATGGATCTCGACGGACATGTGAATGCTGATGGAGAAAGGAGAGGAGGATGGTGGTGTTGAAGCAGAAGATGGACCAGTGCAGTGCAGTGCAGTGCAGTGCAGTGCAGTGCAGTGCAGTGCAGTGCAGTGCAGTGCAGTGCAGTGCAGTGCAGTGCAGTGCAGTGCGTGGATGAACAACGAAAAGAGGAAGTGAACACAACCTATGAAACACTGCACTGGACAGAGAAGTGAAGAAGAGTGCGCGCAAAGATAAAAGACACTTCTATGACACACTGGCAAGTGAAGCAGAACAGGCTGCAGGTAAGAGAGACAGAGACCTGACAACACCATATCAAATAACCAGGTCACTATCTGGAAGGGAAGCGATCAACGCAGACGAGACCAATGAAAGATATTGAAGGGAAGCTAGTTAGTTACCAAGGAGAGAGGAGAAACGAAGGATACAATGAGTTGACCAGTTCAAAAAGCTCTTGAATCGACCAGCACCATCAACGCCACCTGTAACTGGTCGAGAAATACGAGCAGCAGCTGAGCCACAGAACTATCAGTGAACACAAGCCCTCCAACAGAAGCAGAGGTGGAGTCCTGAACGCCATGAAGTTTCTGAGATCCGGGAAAGCAGTAGGACCAAATGGAATTCCTCTGGAAGCTCTGGAAACAGATGCAGAGACAACAGCAATGGACATGCTCACACCACTATTGCAGAAGGTTTGGAAGGAAGGAAGGCAGGAAAGGTACTTGCCTGCCTATTGGAAGACGGGCTACCTTATCAAACTCTCAAATATGGTCGACCTAAGTCTTTCTAGGAATTGGCACGTGGAGATGGATTGGGTATACACTGAGAAGACCATTCGTGGACATCAGGCGCCAGGCCCTCGGGTGGAATACAAACGGGAAACGATGAGTTGGGTGTCCGAGGGTGACATGGAAAAAATCATGTGAGGAAGAAATGAAAGTTTTCGGGCAGTCGTGGAGCCAGGTTCAAAAGACTGCGGAGAAGAGAGTGAAACGGAAACATCCTACTGAAGCCCTATGTTCCACTAGCAACCCAAGGGACAAATAATAATATAATAATATCCATTCATATTATCAATTCAATGTTTGCAGTCAGAATCGAAAAGTCATGATTTCGCTAGCCTTCAACTTTTTCGTTTGAAGACTGTCTTCTTATTCCTTATAGCTAGACGATGATGAGTTGTATTCGTTTTCATTCAGAAGGATGGAATTCATCTGGAACATTTAGTGCTGCCATAAATGTAGTTATGCTTGTCTACTGTTTTTTGAAAATAATCAAGTATGGCACTCAGCTTACCTCAATTCTAATTTCACTAAGTCCTGATGAAATCCCAACCGATAAGCTGATAATAATAATAATAATAAGCTGATTATTATTATTATTATTATTAGTCCCTTGGGTTCCTAGTGGAACATAGGGCTTCAGTAGCACGCCTCCAGTGACCTCTGTTCTCTGAGATCTTTTGAACCTGGTTCCACGACAGCCCAGAAGCTCTCATTTCCTCCTCGCATGACCTCCTCCATGTCACCCTCGGACGTCCAACTCGTCGCTTCCCATGGGGATTCCACTCGAGGGCCTGACGCGTGATGTCCTCAGTCGGCCTTCTCAGTGCATGGCCAATCCATCTCCACTTCCTCCTGCATATTTGTTGCGTGATAGCTTCTTGGTTGGTTCGTTCCCAGAGTTCCTTGTTGCTTATTTTTTCTGGCCATCTGATCTTCAGCAGCGAGCGTAAGCAGTTGTTGATGAATGTCTGTAGTTTATTGGAAATACCTTTCGTGACGCGCCAAGTCTCTGAGCCATACAAGAGCACTGACTTGACGTTGGTGTTGAAAATCCGTATCTTGTTCCGCATGCTGAGTGCAGAAGATCTCCACACTGGTTTCAGGCTAATGAACGCCTGTCTTGCTTTTCCGATTCTGACTTTGACGTCCTCGTCCGTCCCGCCTGTAGTTGAAACAATGCTTCCTAGATAAGTGAAGGAGGTTACTTCCTTCAAGTTTCTCCCGTTGACGGTGATTGGAGTTTGTTGTTGTTGTTGTTGATGGTGGTGGTGCGGTATCTTCATCACTTCTGTCTTCTCTATATTCACCTGAAGTCCCGTCTTGGCTGCCTCTTCTGTCAACTTGTTAGTTTTTGCCTGCAGATCTTCAAGTTTATGTGACATTAGGCATAAGTCATCGGCGAAATCCAAGTCTTCTAGGTTCTTTTCCGTCGTCCAGTGTATCCCCCTCTTCTCGCTGCCTACTGTTTGCTGCATGATCCAGTCCACCACAATAAGGAATATCATGGGGGATAGTAGGCAACCTTGTTTCACTCCTGTCTTCACTTCAAAGGCATCACTGAGCTTCCCATTGTGGATTACTTGGCAAGTGGCATCTTCATATAGTTGTTGAATGAGGCGGATAAAGGTTTGCGGTACTCCGTAGTATTGAAGCAGTTTCCAAATTACTTCTCGGTCGACGCTGTCAAAGGCCTTCTCAAAGTCGATGAAGTTGAGGTAGAGAGCTGATTGCCATTCTACGCTCTGTTCTATGATGATACGAAGTGTTGCAATTTGGTCAGCACATGATTTGTACTTCCTGAAGCCTGCCTGTTCCGGTCGTAGTTTTGAATCCAGTGCGTCTTTAAGCCTCTCCAGGATGATGCGGCTTAATATTTTACTTGGGGTGGACAGGAGAGTGATTCCGCGCCAGTTCTTGCAAGCACTGAGGTCTCCCTTCTTCGGCAGTTTGACAAGGTAACCCTTCTTCCAATCGTCAGGTACCTTCTCTTCCTTCCACACCTTCTGCAATAGTGGTGTGAGCATGTCCGCTGTTGTCTCTGCATCTGTTCTCAGTGCTTCTGGCGGTATTCCATCTGGTCCTGCTGCTTTCCCGCATTTCAGTAGCTTTATGGCGTTCAGGACTTCCATTTTCGTTGGGGGATTTATGTTCACTTGTAATTCAGCGGCTGCAGGTGGTATTTCTGGACGAAGTGCAGGTGGTGGTCGATTCAAGAGCTTCTTGAAGTGGTCGGCCCATCGTTTCCTCTGTTTCTCTTCTTTTGTAATTAAATTTCCTTCTTCATCTTTTATTGGTTTCATCTGTGTTGGTCTCTTCCCTGATAGCAACCTGGTTATTTGATACAATGTCGTCAGGTCTCTCTTACCTGCAGCCTGTTCTGCTTCACTTGCCAGTGTTTCGTAGAAGTGTCTTTTGTCTTTGCGTGCACTCTTCTTCACTTCTTTGTCCAGTGTTTTATACATTGTGCTCAGTTCCTCTTGTCGTTGAGCATCCTTGCACTGGTTTATCTTCTGCTTCACCATCCTCCTCTCCTCTATCAGCTTCCAGGTATCCGTCGAGATCCATTCCTTGTCTTCTTTCTTCTTCCTTCCTAATACTGTTGTGCAGGTTTCTTTCCACATAGCTTTCAAAGACTTCCAGTGTTCTTCCACACAGGTTTCTTCAGGGATGTCCCTCGATGTCTCCCATTTTGTCTTGATGGCTGCCTTGAAGATCTCCTTTGTAGTTTCATCCTTCAGTTTCCGAGTGTTGTACTTGAGTTGAGGTCTATCACCAGCTTCCTTGAAGGCTTTTAACTTGATTTGGAAGGTTCCTTGCACTAGGTAGTGGTCTGAACCTACATCTGCTCCTCTTCTTGACCTTGTGTTAAGTAGACTGCGTCTCCATTTTCTTGAGATTGAGATAAAGTCGATTTGATTTTTAGTGTGTCCATCTGGTGAAGTCCATGTCGCTTTGTGGATATCCTTGTGCCTGAACACACTGCCTCCAATCACCAAATCGTTGAATGCACAGAATTCTGCAAACAATTCTCCATTCTCATTCATTTCACCTAGCGCCTCTCGACCCATGGTTAGTTCTCTTCCCGTGTTGTCCCCTCCCAGTTTGGCATTCATGTCGCCCATTAGAATTTTGATATCGCCAACTGACGTCTTGTCCAGTGTTGATTGAAGTTGTCTGTAGAATTCCTCCTTTTTCTCTTGCTCTGCATTATTTGTAGGTGCATAACATTGTATGATTGTGACCTTTCTTCCTTTTGAGTTGAATCTTGCTGTCATGATCCTGGAGGAGATTGGTTCCCACTGCATGAGAGCCTTCGATGCTCTTGAGGACATCATGATAGCCACTCCCTCAGTGTGCTCGTGGTTGGCGTCTGGGTGACCGGAGTAGATTATTGATTCTCCAGTTGACAGTTTGGAGAGTCCACTCCCATTCCATCTGCTTTCGCAAATTCCAAGCACTTCGATGTTATACCTTCTCATCTCCTTTGCAATCTGGGCTGCCTTACTGGGTTCAAACATCGTACGGACATTCCATGTCCCCACGTTTACTTTCGCTTTCATCGAGAGAAGACACATCGGCCAATTGGCTTCCCGAAGGCTTTCACCAACTGGCGTCATTTCGCCTCTCCGATTCCAGCGGGGAATAAGTTTGTTTTCATTTTTTATATTTTGTTTGTGCTTTGAAGTTTCTTTAGCGGTTAGATTTGTTTTACGGGGTAGGGTTGCTAGCCCTATGCCCAACCTTCCCTCTTTACCCGGGCTTAGGACCGGCTAGTAACTAGTAAACTAGTTAACCAGGCGAGGTTAATAATAAGCTGATAATAATTATTATTTCTATGCTTGAAATGAACTTCATATAAATGTAAGCTATTTGTTGGAACATTTTTTTCAGATTTTTTGACACTGATTAGTCACAGTTGTATTTTTCAGTTACTTTCTTTCTCTTTCTTTAGGTAAATACCTAGTCTGAAGGCTGGGTGCTGCATTCATGATTTGCATGCGTTTGAAATATCATTGGTGCTTTGAATTTATTATCTGACCAAGGACACAATATTTATAGGGACTTAAATTTCATTGGTTGATAAAATGTGTAAAAATCAATACTTTTCAACTATGACATGTGTATTACAGATGCATCGTGAGTGGCTAAACAGCTTCCACCTAGGTTGAATCTTTGAAATAAATCTTATTTAAATGAGAAAGACTAACATTTTAGCAGCATATGGGCAAGAAAATTCATCAAAACAAAAGCGAAAAATTCAATACACAAAAGATATATCCAAAAGATAAATCTCTTCAGACAAGTTCATCCAATAGATTTTCACTTCAAAATTCGAACAGCCATCAGATCATTCAAAGAATTCACAGCAGAAAAAATCAAAAGTTGCCAGTCAACTAAACTTTACCCGAAAACTTCGGTACATTATGGACTGGAAATTTCTACTATCTTGTTCATTATTACTGTGCTTTTATCTGTGCACAATTCTGACAAGATCTACAATATTATCATCTGATGATGAATCCAATCATGATGTGAATGTGATAAGCAAAAGATTGTCTAATTTACTACATGGAACACAGAACTCAAATAAGGATGATGAAGTTTGCAATCGTCAGCAGAACAATGAAGATGAATATGATGAACAATGGGAAAGATCACCCTTGATAAATTCAAACCTTTTAATGCCAACACTGTGTATCGGTGTACTAGTTCGTAATAAAGCTCACGCATTACCGTATTTCCTCAATGGTATTGAAAGTCAACAGTATCCTACTAAACGAATTTCATTAATTTTTTATGTTGACAATACAATCGATTCAAGCGATGTAATACTGAGTGAATGGATCCAGTGTAACAAGGATAAATATCATAATATAATCTTAGAAGTTGAAGAATATAACAGAAGTAAATCAGATGATGAAAAATTAAGCAAACTTTGGACTGAAGATCACTATCAGCATGTTATAAAGTTACGCCAAAAACAGTTAAATAAAGCACGTGAAATGTGGGCCGATTTCTATTTGTCTATTGATGCGGATGTGACTCTCATGAATCCATTAACTATTGGACATTTAATAAATGTGATGCTTGAACCAACAAAATATGTATCACAATCTAATTCGAATTTTAAAACCGATGAAAATATAGTTATCTTGTCACCATTACTAAACTGCACATCGTCTGAACATTATTCAAATTTTTGGGGTGCCATGAGTGATGAAGGCTATTATCTACGTTCAGAGCATTATTTTGATTTACAGAAACGCCGCATCCAAGGTGTTTATCCTGTGGCAATGGTGCATTCAATGTTTCTAGTCAACCTGAAATCCCAGCAATCAGAACAAGTCGGTTATGATCCACCACCAAAAAATTATACAGGACCGATTGATGACATCATCATATTTTCTAGATCAGCACAACGCGCCGAAATCGATTTCTATTTGGACAACACACAATTCTACGGTTATATGCCATCACCTGTTGAAGAACAAGATCTCAGTGCGTATTCAGAAGATTTGAACAATGCATGGCTTCTAAGAGAACAAGATCTATTCGTTCATTTACGTTTGCAAGCAATCATTGATCTAGAGGATAAACAAAGAGTTCTGCCTTCACAGTGTTTGCTTGATATTGCTAAAAGTCAGTTGCCAAAATTAAGCAAATTGGGGCTTGATGAAATATATTTCATAAACCTGCTAAGACGTCCAGATCGTCGTGCCAAAATGGAATATATGTTTGACCAACTAGGCGTTAGTGCTAAACACTATGAAGCCGTTGATGGGAAGAATTTAAGCGCAGAACAACTTGACAAATTACAAATAAAACAACTTCCAGGCTATACAGATCCTTATCATAAAAGATCTTTAAAATTTGGAGAAGTCGGTTGCTTTCTGAGTCATTACAACATATGGAATGTGAGTAAATTTAATTTTAATAATGACAATGGTAAATGTATTTCGTTAATTATATATTACAACAGCCCTTTATCTTGTCGTTTCCTGTTGAGGTATCTCCGCATATAGGTTGTCCTCTCACTAAAATCTTCCTGTGTTATTAAGTGTTTTCGTCAAGAGCGTGACAGTCTATAGTGACTTAAGTTGTAACTGCCCATTTTTCAACATCAGAGATGGAAACCTGGCTGAAGAAGTTGCACAGTTGTCAAGTTGAAGGCATGGATTCAATCCACTTAGTTACTAACTATCAATCTAAGTCGTTTAGGTTGCCGTAGGCCTCTTAATTAACATTTGTCAAAATTGATTTTTAGAAACTATAGTTTATCAGACGAGATTGATCACAGTGGTATAGATACATCTATGTTGCATTTGCCTTTAAATCACAGATATTTTAGCGTTGCAGTTATTCTACATCGTAACCTGTGTTCTCTGATTGTATTCATTTCAGCTGTAAGTGTCGTTTCCTTCGATTCAGTGTTTCTCCTTCGCCTACTTTTTTCTTTACCGTACTTCGTTGTTACCTATGTTTCCGATTTTACCTGTCACTGAACAGCGGCATGTAACAACTGTATAAGATCACTGTTTCTGCATCGAAAACAGCTGGGTGACAATTTTTCGGTTGTCTCTATTGGATGTGATAAGATGTCTCTTTTATCGTATATTTAACTCTGGGTTAGGTAATTTAATACCCCCTTGCGCTTCTATCATGACAGTTTAATATGCATGGTTATAAGGTTTCGAATAATAGTTACATTTTATGAGTTAATTAGTTACTTGACCAAGTACAGCTTCAGGTGTCTGTCCGTTAGTATGTCATCGTACTGTTATATACTTTATTCTTTAGATTTTCACCATCCCATTTAAGTAATTTTGTTATAATCGGGGGTTGACTGAGACTCCGTCCACTTTAAGTTATTGACTAAAAAACTTGGATACTTTCTTCAGTCAACAAGGATTTTATTGTACTACTAATTCACCAACTTATGTTGACAAACGTCATATAGTATTGACATCAAAAAACGCGCTAAGAAGTCGATGTGACGTTATAAGGCAAAACAAGAGATGAAAACGCAATAGAAACGGAAATAAAGATGTAAAACATATTCAGAAAGCTGGATTTTATTTACTTTATCGCAGTCCAAGAGATACAAGGAAACTACATCTTGATCGTTGGTGTTTTAGCTTCTGAGTAAGGTCTAATTTTGGTCTGTTTTTAAGTTTTCTGTCTTATTTTGTTTGAGTTCTGATGAGAATGAATACCAACCACCAAACTAACTTGTGAATTTGCAGTGTGTTTGTTTTCTAGTTTGTTTATAAATATTGGCTAGTTCGAAACATTTTAAGAATAGAAGTGATGTAGCACAGTAATGTAGAACAGATTTCAGAGGGAGGAAAACAATCAAAATTACGAATCCTAATAGCTGCTTCTTTCGAGTCTCGAACAGCCTCGAATACATGTCATTGTCTATGCAGTTAATCACCAGATATGTAGTTTGACACGGCCATGTAATAATTAGCATGATAAATCGGGGGTTATTTCTTAGGCCTGTTGTTATGGATGCCTATATCCCTAATATTCCATACTTACAATTCCTATATATTTGAACTGTTTTTCTTCTCACTCTTTTTCCTGTGCATTGGTCACATTTATATAGTGCACCGCTTTCTGATTGGCTCCTGTCTCTTTAAATGTACTACTTACTTCTTGTCTTTTAAGCTTGCTGTAAACTCCAAAAACAGGGCTCGTCTTCACTTATAAACGTTTCAGTCCGAGATACTATAAACCCAGTTGATTACCAGTCTTTTGATTTCTCTTGCTAATCACTGGGGTTGAACCCTCGACTATCAATCGTTAAGTATTATCGTTCTTTCTCACAACTCCACGTTGTAACACATACATACTGTATCTCATTCATTTACGTAATCAATATATGGGTGACTTTAAAGGGCACCATAGTGAATAAATACATCGTAGTTACAAATCTTATCAATTGTGATTATGTTGAAATACGATCGATGCGACTATACATATTTTAAACCCCATAACCAATCAGTTGTTAGTATTTTGACTGGAGAGGTAATTCTTTCTCAATGGTCACGTAGCCAGCTTAGCACAACTGTATATTCGCCCTCCTATTTGGTTGGAATGAATAGTGTATTAGTAGTAGCTTGACTAAACAACCCACATGACCATCCATCCTAAAACTTTTCGTTTCTTGCTTGTTCAGTTTGGATGACGAAATAATTTGAACTGATCACCGTAATATGATGTTTCCAACTAAAACTACTTCATATTTCTCTACAATTCTTAGGGAGAAATTAAAACTGAACTAGAAATATGTAAAATAAGAACTGATTTCATAATATAACCATCTCGGTGGGATTTTATCAAAATGACCTAAAGGAGAATTTTAAGCAGTTTCAGTTACTTGTTAGCATCTATGGAGTCCTAGGGTGGCATCAGGATAGTGAACTCATTGACAGATCATATAAGTAATAAGTTCTCTATTCCGATTTATTTAACTTCAAGAAATTTTACAGGCTTCATACTGAGCGCGAGACTATCTTACATAACTTGGTTTTACATCATTTCGTATATTGTATAGTTTAATGTCATAAGCTATGTATTTGTTAGTCAGACAGTAACAAAGGTAATTTTAAGGTTACTCAAACGCCCTATGACTTTTGCGTCTAAAGATCAGAACTAATAGTTTTCAGCTGTATTAGAAACACTAAAGTACAAATCAGCAGTTAGATACTATTTCGATTATTGAACTGTGCACCACGCCTATACTGCATGACGCTAATTCGCAACAATATAATAGGTGGAATAATATTTAAGTATGTCATTCACAAGTTGAAATTTATTGTTATTGTGTCCAATCGAAATCGAAATATACTCAGCAACGTTTTGCACGTTCGTGTAGCAGGAAATGAGTTCCATCTATCGAGTGAAAGATAATGATACCACTTAGTTACTTAAACCTCGGTTGGTGCACCTGTGTTTGAACTAGTAAACCACTGGTTGGAAATCAACAGCCTAAATTAAAGAACTTCAGTTCAGTCACTAAAGTGTAATGAGATGATATTTACAATTACTGAAAGGATTGATTGTTTCAGTTTTCTGAAATGTATACACCTACGAAGTGAGCATTACTTTATTTCTTCGAAAGTAACTCGGAAAACGTGAATGAAATTGAGGGGCCATCTGACAACCAAGGGATAAGTAGGCTGGCATACTCAGGTAAATGATTCGGAAAATGCAACTCAATAAGAAAGCTAAGGTTCCTTTACTGCGTTGTGAGTTAAGTCTATTATATTAATTAAGACTTTTCCCGTTAATGGTGATTGGTGTATGTTGTTGTTGTTGTTGTTGGGTGGGTATCTTCATCACTTCTATCTTCACTCCATCCACTTGAAGTCCCGTCTTCACTGCGCCACCTCTTCTGTCAACTTGTTAGTTTTCGCCTGTAGATCTCCGAGTTTGTGCGATGAGACATAAATCATCATCTTCGGTGAAATCCAAACCTTGTTCCGGGGTATTTTCGTTGGTCCATTCAGCGTGTGCTCATCTTCTCGCTCCTCACAGTTGTTTGCTGCATGACTCAGTCCAGTCTAGTCGACTACAATTAGGAAGATCATCGGTGATAGTAGACGGCAACCTTGTCTTACCCCTTCCTGCCTTCACTTCAAAGGCACCAGTGACCTTTTGATTTTGAATCACTCGGCATGTAGCCTCATCATATAGCATAGCATATAGCTGTTGAATGAGGTTGATAAAGGTTTGTAGCAGCAAAACCGTAGTGTAGAAGCAGTTTCCAAATTAATCGTCGGTCGACGCTATCGAAGGCCCTTTCAAAGTCGATGAAGTTGAGCTGGAGGTTGAGTTGACTGCCACTACATACTCTGTTCTATGATGATGCGTAGCGCATGGCGTTGCAATTTGATCCACAAATGATTTGTTCTTCCTGAAGCCAGACAGCCAGCCAGCCTGTTCCGATCGTAATTTTGAATCGAGAGCACTTTCCTCTTAGTCTCTCTAGGATGATGTGGTTTAATATTTTGCTTGGGGTGGACATCGAGGGACATGAGCATGATTCCGCACCAGTTCTTGCAAAGACTTAGGTCTCCTTTCTTTTGAAGTTTGATAAGGTAGCTCTTCTTTCAATCACCAGGTATCTTTCATGCCTTCCTCTCTTCCTTCCTTCCAGACCTTGTGGAATAGTGGTGTGAGCATGTCCGCTGTTGTCTCTGCGTATGTTTTCAGTGCTTCTGATCCTGCTGCTTTCCCACATTTCAGCAACTTTATGACGCTCAGGACTTCACTACTGCTTTTGTTGGAGGGCTTGTGTTCACTGATAGTTCTGTGGCTGGAGTGCTGGTAGTATTTCTGGACGAGTTGCAGGTGGCGGTCGAGTCAAGAGTTTTTTTGAAGTGGTCTGCCCATCGTTTCCTTTGCATCTCCCCTTTGGTAATTAAATTTCTTTCATCATCTTTTACTGGTTTTATCTGTGTTGATCACTTCCCAGACAGTAAGTAACCTGGTTGTTTGATATAATGTTTTCACGTCTCTCTTACCTGTAGCCTGTTCTGCTTCATTTGCTTCGACTGCTCAGGACGATGCAGGTGGAAAGCTGATAAATTTTAGAATGAGTGGTATCTCCACTGAACCGCTGGTTAAGTATCATCACTGTTCCGATGCAAAAAATTAATCTTATGAATTACTGAGCTTTACAAAAGGAACACTAAGATCCAAGAAACGATATCCCAATTGAACAATTCCATTTTAGTCTGTTTATTAGAAACGCCTTGCCTAATATGAATATGGACAAGAAATTGTTTTCGAAACGTTATTCAGTATATGATATTATTTCACTGTATGGCATTTTCTAATAAACAGACTAAAAAGGAATTATAATCCATCACAGCGCCCAAGTTTTACTCGTATAACAATTGAACAACCCCTTTAATGAAAAAAGGATTACTAACCTTAGACTCATCATCTGAAGTGAAAGATGACGGAACAGTAACTATAGGCAACGGTAAAGGCAACAAATCAAGGAATATCAATAGGCCAGGTAAGTAGAAACACGGTGATGATATAGTGAACTGAATTAATTCTTTCAGCATTAACACCCAGAGGGATTTGTTTATCTCTAAATGTAAAACAACACAAGAAATAGAATTTAGCTACCAAGTCTAAAAAGTCTACGGTTATTTTGGTTGAAATACAGGTAATTATTTTAAAATCACTATTCTAGTGGAAAATTAACTTTCAAAAAATGGTTTGCCTATGTTGATGCCCAAAGTAGTGAGCACTAGTATGATTGAAAAAAATAAGGAAATGAGATTTTTTTAAAATGGGATTGTTGACATTTATTCTAGAAGCTTAATTTAACTGTGTGTAGAGTGGTCAAATTGACTATACAAGGTTTGTATAAAACTCGAAAGAATAAGGAATGTCCGAGACAATAAACATCTCAACAAACCAGTCATGCTGGAGAAATTGATAACCGTAATTTCCAAGACTTTCATAGTGTGAAAAGTTGTAAACAAACAAACAAGTATGCTAAGAAAGTGACAAACTTACGTAAGGGGAAACAACGCCAAATGTCAAAATCAAGGTAAATTATAGCTTTTTCTGAAGTGTACTACTGTATTTTACTCGTCCTAACAGTCACTAATAGTCCCAATTGGTCATATATTACACGCTTACTCAGAATGAGAAATTTCCCTATGGTTTATAATCTATAAAAAACCTTCAAATAAGTCATTGAAGAAATGTAATTTCAGTCAAGACATTCATCTAAATATGAGTCTGTCGACTTTGGACACATAATTATTTTCAGACACTCGTTTAATCTAAATAATGATGACTATTAGTACTATTGCTTGTATTACACCGTCGTTGATTGGACCGAATTGATCGATCTCCATTGGCAAGGGGCTCGTGCGCGGATGCCTCGATATTACCTGTGTTCTAATTATAATGGAGATGGATAGTGGCTAGCAGTAGAATCCAGGATGTGCATTTCGTCCTGCTTGGGACTCGTCAGCTGGATGCACCTGCCTTCAGGTGAATGATGTTGTCTCCACCGGGACTCGAACTCGGGATCAATCGGTTCAAATGCCAGAGCGTTATCCACTACACCACCGAGCCACGATAGCCACTTCTTGTGCTACAGGTGTAGTTTTATTATTACTGCCTGTATTATACCATCGCTCTGGCGTTTGAGGGTATCGATACCGGGTCTGAATCCCGGGGGGAACAACACTTACTGGGAGGTAGGTACATCCAGCTGACGAGTCCCAAATAGGATGAAATGTGCATCCTGGATTCCACTGCTAGCCACTATCCATTATTACAATAATGATTATTGATAATTTCATGTGCTCTTCGGCAGATGAATTTAGTATCAAAATTTCACTTTCCTTTTAGGCAACATTATCAGCACAAAACCCATCCGGGTCTTAGTAACAAATATTCTCCACAGTCTACAATATTTTTAATGTTATGTACACTACATCACTTAATTGTTTGTTTGCGGACCGTATTGAGTGAAACTGGCGCATTTTAATTAGACAATGCACATGAACATGAATATATACGAAAAAATGTAACAAAAATGACCAAATTATACCTTGAATATTGAGTACTCTGTTTAGCTCAGAATGCGTGTAAGCCAATAAACCAGCTATTGTACAATCACGGATCTAAGCATCGAGAAGGAAAATAAAAGAGTCTTTCTTAAAAAATATATACATAAATCCCCCAAAATACTGTCATTCAGAGAAAAAACGGCAATAAACTTACTGATTTTATATGAAGATACGTGAGAATAATGAAGTGTAGCTTATTCATCTATGTAGTCAAACTTTAATATATAGGTCACTAGTTCCAACTCTCTCAGTCTATCGAGGTTCGGTTATCCAAATAGCAAGGATAGTCTCTAAACACTGAGTACGGCTAACTTTCTAGAGCATGAATCTATGGTTGCTTATAGAGTTACATTTACTTTATCAAAGTAAAGAATGAAAAGTTACACAATGCCTAAAATGGAATATAAGAATACGATATATCTTGCATACTTTTTATTTTCCGTTCTATAACATGATATCATGACATATACGGGATGTATGGAACCCGAAGTAAACCAAATGTTTCTAATAAGGAGTAAACATAGAGATCCCCAATCTCCACACTAAAAAATAATAAATGACTATAATGACACGAAGCATAATCTGATCGCTACATTTTTTCTGTAAATGTGGAGTTGTGCGTCATTGGTTTAGGCAGTTAACTTCCAACCAATGGATCAACGTTTCAAACACCGCTTCACCTGTCGAGGTTTTGATAGTCACTTAGTGTCATTTGTCTTCTTACAATACGTGTGACTCATTGCCTGCTGCATGAATGTGAGCAAAGTAGATGAGCGGATTTCGATTTTATTTTCATTCTGTAGGCCGTCAGCCAAAACACTGTGGTCAAGCATCTAGGTTGACAAAGTCGAATACCAGGTAAAGAAACATGGCAAATATCAGTCATTGGTACCCATGTCTGTGTTTCAAAACTTACTGGAAAATGAGAATCTGATCCACGCACCCTCATCTAGGTCCGAAGCCCATTTCCAGCCCCGGTGAAATGTTGAAAAACTATGAACGCCACAGTCTTGGTAATAATCTTAGTTAAACTGATTCCCTCAGTGGTAATCAAAGAAGGACTTATCTCCTTTCCTACAGGTTGAAATGATCAACGCGATTTAGAATAGTCCGACGAGATTATCTCTGATTCCCATAGACTAGTTGGTACCTCTAACACTCTACTCAGTAACTGTTTCCTACCTCCATGGTTAAAAGCTTGTGGTGGCGAACCGGCAAGTTCTGGTGCTATTCACTATTTCAGGTTTGAAACAGCCTTCTCAGCCTCGAGGACAGTTGGAGTGCCAACACCAACGCCCTATTCAGGTTTAAGCTGCATGCTGAGTAACTTGTTGCGTGTACCATTGTGGCCGTCTATCCATAGAGGTTATTGGAGTCCCATTCTTTACGGTGGTGGTTTCACTAACCATCATCTCTTCCCCAACATACATTACTAAGCTTAAGCATTGATGCCGTCCCTATAATTTTCATTTTTGCCATACCATAACTGCTTGTGATCATTGCAGGGGACTGTTATTGAATTTCCCTTTACACTGCTTACACTTTTTTCATTGTGTTCAGACTTATCTGGAATGAGTCTTCTTGATTAAATCAGGTAAAATGAGGTTGTGGAAATCCACTGACTTTTCGTAGCCTACGAATCCAGGTTAGTAACTGTCTTTACCTTTGTCTCCACAGCAGAGTGCATTTCATACCGGGTATTCTCAGGATGAGGAGCACTGTTTGGTTTAGATGAATGCTTATCTATCTCCACTCCAAGTACACAGTTGATGTTTCTATCTTGCAATCGAGCACTCACACGCTTCACTAAAGTTTGCGTCATGCACGCGTTAAGTCATAGACGTGAACGTCCTCTTGCTTAGGGGTGATTAGAGTCAAAGCAGGTTGTCCAGAAACAGCTGGGTGGTCGTCCACCGGTTATCTCCACTCACGGTTTATAGTGATATAATTCATGAGTGTTCATCGTTGATTTGATGTCGTTGTGAACCAAGTGAGAGAATGTCTCCATATTCTTGAAGTTGGTGATGACAAGAAACAAGTGATAATTGTCAAAAGAAAATTGAAAGAGACGATCACCGTTATCAATTCATTAGCATAGGATGCCTTCAACACTCACGAGTTCCATTTTTGATGGGCTAAAATTTTCATCTTGAAAATCCCGAGTTTTGGTAAGATACGCTTATTTTCCCATTCGCCTTAGGGTTTGGACGCTGAAACGCTCGATGCGAAATCAACAGGGTGGCTTTAAGGGATTAGGAATGCTTATTTGGTAGCTTGGATCGTTTGCAATGTTTGTTAAGTGGGCTGTTTAAAGAACTACAGTAGACGCAATGCTGGTTTACGGAAGTGAAAGCAAGGGAGGTGTCAAGAGTTAGGAAGGGGGGCTATCGTCGATTGGATTTTGCATGCTGTCTGAAGCTTATGGCTGCTCACACCGTAGGTTTTTTCTGTAAGGTACTTTAAGGAAAGACTGTGGACTTTAATATAAGTGTAAGACTTGGGCACTATGGTAGAATTTAATTCCATAATCATATCAAGTGATATGATTATGAGCAATAATTTATACTCGAAACGTTATCAAGGAAATAATACTGTATCACTGTATTGTAAATTAAATAATCACCTACAGGGAGTACCTTATTGCTGTTACATCTTGTCCAGGCAGCAAGCTTTCTTTGATTTCGCTTACTGATTAGTTAGGATAAACACCAGTGTGGAATTCAAGAAAGATATTATTATCATCGTCAAGCAATCCCAAAATATTATGCAATAGTCATGTTTGGGTTAAACCAAAACTGGATTATAATTAAACAAATATGTAACTTAAACTTACCCTTTCAAGTTGTGCAGCCTTAGGACCAGGCGGACAATAAGCAAAAACTGTGCAAGCGTATGCATGAAACAAAGGACGCAAAATTCTAGTATCTTGGAAATCATCACCTTGAACCGGAATTATAGTGCGTAATACAGCACCAACTATTTGTATAACATTATCGAACATGGAAAATATCAAGCTAACATTGCTATTACAACTGTTTATGCTTATTAAATCAATTGTATTATTTGCCTGGGATAAGGTGGCCTGCAGTTGAAGTATGAAGAAATCAGACAATTTCTAAAATAAACAAAAACCAAGAAAAACATCAAACAACTGTTTGAATCTGACTGCAAATTAAATGCTGATTATTCAGTGAAATTAAGACAATTGTATTCACAGTAATCTAATCTGAGAACAAGTGAAGTGCAACAATGAGAAATCTTTAACACATCAAACAGCAAGTGCTTACGCAGAGGACTGAAACATCTGAGTGTAACTTTCGAGGTAGCACAATCATAATGCAAACCACCTTTTATGTCCAGTTCACATAACAGCAAGTCATACAGCTACATAAGACTAAAGAAGTTGGAGTACAGGGACTTTGCTACCGTAGTATCTTCCCCCAGTTTTTCAGTTCTTGATTAGTGGAGTTAGAAGCTACCTTTTGGCTTATAAAAATAGTTAACATGAGACACACTGTATCAAATAACCAGGTTACTATCTGGGAGGCGAGAGATCAACACAGATGAAACCATCAAAAGATGGTGATGGAAATTTAATTGCGAAAGAAGAGAAGCAAAGGAAACGATTGACAGACCACTTCAAACAGCTCTTGAGTCGACCACCACCTGCAGCCACAGAACTACCAGTGAACACAAACCCTCCGACGAAAGCAGTAGTGAAGTCCTGAGCGCCATAAAGCTACTGAAATGTGGGAAAGCAGCAGGACCAGATGGAATCCCTCCAAAAGCACTGAGAGCAGACGCAAAGACAACAGCGGACATGCTCACACCACTATTGCACAAGGTCTGGAAGGAAGGGAAGGTACCTGCAAATTGATGGGAAGAAGGGCTACCTTATCAAACTTCAAAAGAAAGGAGACCTAAGTCTTTGCAAGAACTGATGCGGAATCGCGCTCCTGTCCACACCCACTACAGACCAAATATTAAGCCGCATTATCCTGGAGAGACTAAAGGATGCACTGGATTCAAAATTACCACAGGAACATAGTGGTTGGCTGGCTTCAGGAAGAACAAATCATGTGCAGATCAAATTGCAACGCTACGCGTCATCATAGAACAAAGTATAGAATGGCAGTCAACTCAAATCAACCTCAACTTCATCGACTTTGAAAGGGCCTTCAACAGCGTCGAATGACAAGTACTTGGGAAACTGCTTCACACCACGGAATACCGCAAGCCTTCATCAGCCTCATTCAACAACTATATGAAGACACCACAGGCCATGTAATTCACAATGGGAAGCTCAGTGATGCTTCTGAAGTGAATACAGGAGTAAAACAAGACAAAGCTGTCTACTATCACCAATGATCTTCCTGATCGTGGTCGACCGGATCATGCAACAAACAGTGAGGAGAAGGGGAGAGGGGGACACGCTGGACCGCGGAAAAGAACTTAGAAGACTTCGATGTCTCCAATGACTTGTGCCTGATTTCACACAAACTTGAAGATCTACAGGCGAAAACTAACAAGTTAACAGAAGAGGTAGGGCAGCGAAGACGGGACTTCAAGTCAATGTTGAGAAGATGGAGGTGATGAAGACACCCAACCAACTCCACCAACAACAACAACAAGCTACAATCACTATCAACGGGAGAAACTTAAAGGAAGTAGCCTCTTTCACCTATCTAGGCAGCACCGTTTCAACTACAGGTGGCACAGACGAAGACATTAAAGCCAGAATTGGAAAAGCGAGACTGGTTTTCACTAACCTGAAACCAGTGTGGAGATCTTCTGCACTCAGAACAAAGAACAAGATCCGGATTTCCAACACCAACGTCAAGTCAGTGCTTCTGTATGGCTCATAGACTTGGCGCGTTACGAAAGGCATTTCCAACAAACTACAGACATTCATCAACAACTGTCTACGCTGGCTCGTTACTGAAGCTCAGATGTCCAGAATAGTAAGAATAAGCAACAAGGTGCTCTGGGAACGAACCAACCAAGAACCCATAGGTCGACAAACATGCAATGAAAGGAAGTGGAGATAGATTGGGCATACACTGAGGAGACCGATTGGGGACATCACGCGCCAGGGCAGATCCTCGAGTGGAACCCAGATGGGAAACGACGAGTTGTCGTCCTAGTTGAGGGTGACATGGAGGAGATCGTGTGAGGAAGAAATGAGAGCTTGTTGGCAGTCGTGGAACCAGGTTCAAAAGTTTGCAGAGAACAGAGTGCACTGGATACGTGCTATTGAAGCCCTATGTTCCATTAGGAACCCAAGGGACAAATAATAATAAATCATCAACTGCGACAAACGGTTTGATCTTCATACCAGCTGTAACCAAAACTCAATGACTTACTTGAATTAATGTTATGAAAGTATTTAATCCATTCATGCTGAAGATTTCGATAAGTACATGAGTGCGAGATAAAATAATCTGTTGCTCCGAAAAATGATTGTGAGACAAACGATCGAAAATAATTGAATGACTTGAGCCTAGTATATGAGTACGGAGTAAACGCAATATCAACAAGATGCTAGGTGGTATACAACGACCAGCTGTGACAACCTGAGTAGTAGATTGTCTGCGACCAGAATAAGTTAACTGGGATGTAGAAGCGTTTGGTGCTGCAAGAAGATCCTCAGCAACTTCAAGACCTAAAAGTGTATCCAATGCCTCATTTAACTCATTACACATTGTTTGTAATTGACCAATTAACCATGAACAGGCTTCAGGTGAGAGGGGTGAATCTGGTGACATATTCAATACACCGGTTACATGCGAACGAGACGATCCATCACGAAGCCAACTGATATAACTGGATGCCAATCGCGCAAATGAAGTCATCTGAGTAAATACATCAATAGGTGTGATATCCTCTACACTTTCAGTCTGCTGATGAGCTGAAAAGGAATTCGTGGAAAACACTGTCAGTCAAACAGTACTAAGGATAAAAAATGGAAACAGAATTGAAATTCCTCCTTAGAGTGTTTAAGGCAGTGAATAGAGAATAATTTCTAAAAATTAGATGAAAAGAAATCAAATAATAAAACACCACTCATAATTTGAGATTAATGGTATTTAAAAAGTTACTTGAGATGAGCAAGAACAGAAAATTGATCTGATTGTCAGGTTCCTTTCAACAGTTTATGACTTATATAATTTAATATGCGCTTACAAAAGAAATTTAAGATACTGCAGTTTATCAAAACGAAGTTAGTCCACGGATTATTCCAACAGGTAAAGGCATATAAAATTGAACGTAAATAAATAAAGAGGATAAGTTACTTCAAGATCTTACATTTACCTATGTAATTAGTAAAAAAAAATTGTCGGCAAATGGAAATGCGTAAAGGTGGCAACAAGAATAACGAAGAATTTAGAGAGAAGAACAAGTAAATAAATCCAGTGATTAGATGAGTCATTATGAATTCAATAAAAATTAATAAAGCAAGATGAGTTAGTCCTCACTGCAATAAAATCGAAGTTTGTTGTGAACTTTCAAAGAGATTAATATGACAAATTCGGATTCAATCTCTTGTGATAGACTCAGCAAAACGAAGAAAATAAGGATCTTATTGTTTTCTGATGACTTTTAAAGCCTTCAAGGCATCGACATGATGTTATCTATCGATCAACAATGTAGCAATCGCACTGCTAAAATGGCTGGATCCCTACAGTAGTATGTTTTTTCAAAATTTGAGTATATTCTCCTTGAGTCATTAAAAAAGCTTCAGAGAAAAAATTTGTCTTCCGCGATATCATTACCAAAGGATTACAAAAGGTGTGAGTAAACGTCTATTATGCAGAGAGACAGACAAAATCAACGTAGAACGTCGCACGCAAATACATCGGTTCAAGCTGTCACACTTCACAGTAGTACACAAGGAACAGGTGGACAGAAAACACTGGTATCAAAGTAAACAAAGTTGTGTGAAAGAATAAAATATTTGAAGATAACGGTTAGTTCAAATATTCAAGCTTCAGATGTCAAGGAGTCAATACATCTATGCCATTGTGAGGGCAGTGTAGTTGCCCTTTAATAGATAGGCATGGGTTACACTAAGTCAAAGTAGAGTACAGAATGAGATTGATTAAGTGAATGTGAATCCCCCGTCAGTAGTTTTTTTTGTAGCCAATAAGAAAGTGTTCTAAACCAAGAGTTTGAATGAAACATAAGATGAATCCCCACTATAATCAAAGATTTCTTTCAAATTCAGTAGTCCTTTTTACATATTTCAGTGATGAATCAAATAACATGACCACTTCCCAATTACACTGATACTGCAGACTTTACATTTTTTTAAATATGTAAACTCGGAAAAAAACAACCCAATCTAATTAAAAATAATCCATGAAATGTAGATTAACTCAAAAAAATCTGCCGCTAGAAACGTCCAGGTTTTCGAGACATTGCTCACAATAACTTACGAGTAATTAACTGTGCCAAACGAGGTCCATAACGATCCAAATAGGATATATTTTCGCTATGACGCAACACAGTGATAACCAGTGTATTCACTAGGCTGTTTAGCTGTATCGGTCCAGATAAGAGATTGCGAATTGTTGCTTTGAGCTTAATATGTTTGGCACTTCAAGTTGACCATCTGCTAGGCACTGATCAGTATTTGGTTGAGCTGATAACAGATACAAAAGCTGATGAACATATAGAACATAAAATGTGAGTCATACTACACTGACAACACTCAGAAGTCAGAATTATGTTTAACTGAAAGAGTGAGATTCGAATAAACACATTTGAAAATTATTGCATTCTGGATCCATTCACAGAATGACACACCAATTATAACAGACTGACACAAAAAGAACCGATGTATAATTAACTACGGAAGCCTCAGAAACAAGAAAGGATGACTTATAGTGGTATTTAAAATCGTTCCAATTTTTCTTTCTTTTCACAATAGCCACTAAGTGGAAATCGTTTCATCTTTCCTGGTCATCCTATTCTTAATAATTTCCAAAAGAATTTTCCGCCTAACTGTTGTGATGCCTCAGTTTTGTATAAAACATTGTTATTGATCTGAACACTTTAACGTGTCATTCCCATACCATTTTACGGTATGACTAGTAGTCTACTTTCTGTAATGTAAGTCGCTAATTGGTTAATCTTTACTCTTACTGTGCAAATGCCTTAAATTGAGGACAAGGTCATTTGTCATGTGTTACCTATTCACGTGTTTTGGATTGATCGATCATATTATACTCTCCGAGTAATGAACTCTCCCATCTGCCAGCTTCGGTCTTCTCTCTATTCGTTCCAGGGTTGCAGTCAGTGGCTATTGCGTACTAAGTTAGCTGTCAGCTAAGCGCGCGTGTTATATTCCTTCGGAATATATAACAATTGGCGCCCGAAAACATAACACTAACTTTCTACATTGGGAAGCTAAGACTATCTGGTATAACTCAGCCTCTTCTCCTTATAAACCCCGGTACCTTGCCTGTTCTCCTTTGATTTTTTCCCGGGTTGCTGAAAAAAGACCACACTATGTTGCGTAGAACTTTGAAGATTGTCAGCAGAATCAGTGATGCACTTTTAAACCTTGTAATTAAATCCGTTGTGGACAAACATCTTAACTCATATAAACATCTGGCAGGAGTTATTTTATCAGATGACCAGCATCCTCTTCACTCAAAGCTCTCTGTGTGTCAGTCATCTGAAAAAACAAGGAGCAACTACCTAAGACTTTATGCATGTACTACTGAATATAAAAACTCTGCAACACCGTATTTAGCTTGTCTCCTGTGCGATGAAGAGATTATTACAAATGAACTAACTAACCAACTTCTGCTTTTGAAAGTAAACTAATTTAAGAGTGCACAGCTTGTTGTTATTCATGTATTATGAACCTATTTGCTAATATGGTTGTCTACCTAAGTTAACTCTATATTTTCAAGAAAGTTGTATATAGAGTAACTATTCTTATCCTTTATATGTAATCTATACTTATTTCATTTTGCTATGTATACATATACACTGTTTCTGTCCAATTGATGCAACATGACATGCCAAAAAATTATGTAGAGTATTCTGAAATACCTTTCAGAATAAAGCTATTATTATTATTATATTCCTTACAGATTCAAGAACTAATTTAAAAACCCTTCAATATTTGCGTGAATATTTTCTTTTTTATCCATAAAATAAACGTCCGTGAATGACAGGCAAAGTGACCGAGTGATGTGCTAAGAACTTCTATATTGCATAAGTATTAAAAGAAGTCTGTAAGAAATAACCATCAGAAATGGTTAGCGAGGTACCAGTCTACAGGCCCTGAGTTGATATATGAGAGCAGAAAACTGTCTGCTTCTGAAAAATACGGTAAGAAAATATGACATCGTAAACTCAACTACATGGTTAACAATTGAACACATTGTTTCCTAAATGGTGACCCAAACGACATGAAAAACAAAACCTTAGAAAAAACTGACTTATTAGAAATGTGACAAAGATTGATAGAGTTTAGAAGCAACCTAAAGCATCCAGGGGAATAAATGAACCAGTACAGCGTGATCGGAAAATCAAGTTAGTACGTTACATATGATCATTGTAGAAATCTTACTGTCTGGAAAACCCCATTGGTTTATTACAAGTAAAGATAAAATATATTATTTCTAGAGTCAATATTTTCGAATCCCTTTTTTGCTGATAAGAAAAGCAGTTCAAGAAGAATGTTGATAACTGAAGGGAATCTAGCCAGTAAAATAAACTTGTAGTAGTAGTGGAAGTAGTGTTTGGTGAGACAGGTGTGGTCGTTAGTTCACCGACAGTTTCCAGCTGTATGCTAGTCACAATTAAATACCGGCTGTTTTGAAGATAAGTCAGTGTTAGTAAAATGACCGCAGTACGTAAGTTTTGCTACGACATCCAATAAAACAGGACGAAAATAAGGTTCAAACGTATGAAAAGTTAGTGGGGGGAGTACTCCTCAAGTTTCTATTACTTCAAATGCATGGTGTATGTGTGAAAATGCACCATAAGATTATAGAAGGGATTCTACACGAGAACGGATTCAGCAGCTCACATAAGGCCAAATGTACAGGCAAATTACTTCATGATTTCAGATAAACTAGATTGTTAAACAAACCCATAATAAAAATTAATCTTATAATAACTGAGGTTCACATTTCCAGCATCTAAGATGAATACTCAGAAGGTCAACTTAATGTACCATATTTAATGTTATTTGTTACCTAGTTTAATCCGAAGTAATAACATGAAAAGTAGTTGTTGGAAGAAACTCATTACTTGGTTTTGTTTCATCATTCGAACTCTTTGACTTCTCGGTTTTGGGCAACGCCTTGACTGTGTTATTCCCTCCACATCTCATATCCATATCGTGTTCAGACAAAGCTTCGATCAACATTAAAAGTGGAGCAAAATAATCATCCATAGCGATTAAATCAGCAATCCATATTGGTGAAGATGTAGTCAGTGTTGAAAGAACAAATTCTTTCACATTCTTTAAATTAGACAGATGATCATCAGCACCACTATCAGTGAAGTAATCAGTATTCATAAAATTGCGAAATTGTCCAACAGAATTTAGCATCAATCTGGTCAGTCCGAATAAGGCATCACGTATACTCGCTTCAATGGATCGTAAATCAGCAGAAACAGTCTCTGATTGAAGTTGTGTAATAAATGAATAAACGCTGTCATACCTCAAGACAAAATCAATTTGATAACAAATGTAATACTGGTAAATTGAGAAAATAAACTTTTATAAGTGTGAAATGTATTTTACATTCACTGAGTCATGACGAACAATGCTTAACAGCTAACAGTAATGAACCAAGCATTCAATTTGAAATAATCATGGTATTATTGGTTAAACAATACAATAAGATACTGGATGATAATTGGAGGTGACGTGAAAATCTGGACCGCGGTAGGCTGCGAACCCGAAGGTCGCTGGTTTGAATCCAGCGGCAACCCAGATATTCATTTCACCTTCAATCACCACCCAGTATCAATGCAAGTCTGTCAAACAACAGCTATCTGAAATAGTCAAACCGATAAAATAACAGCAGTTTTATAGTTCAAGATGATGGAGAACTAAGGTCAGGTAATTTTTTGCGATATGTCGTTTCAAAGTCTAAAAGATCCAATCAAGTTTCTTTATTCCGCGGGAAAGATAGTTATTCGTAAACTAAAGAAACCTCATTGGTTATTTCAGTAGTCATTAGGGTCTTTAGGTTTAGGATTACTTTTCTCAGATAAATGCATCTTACGTGATGTGATTCAACAGCTTAAGCACCTGACCTTCAATAAATGTGATTTGGACTCAATAAGAGCCCCACTTGCTGTGATCTAAAGAACCGGAGAGCGCCATAGGCCCTCACACATTTGTTGGGGCTTTCGGTTTGGTACATACATATACGCGTACCAGATTGAGTCGTAGTATTAGTTCAAGTTAGGAAATAAAGGTCACACGTTTCCCATGAAGATGAATACACACTCATCATTAGAACTTTGAATTAGTAATGATAAATGTGCACTAGTTTAGGATTTACCATTAATTGATTACTGGAGGAAAGCACAAAAAACACCCTCGATTCAAGGCAACACTTACAATACACATATATGAGTGAAAAAGTATGTGCACTGTAAACTGTTGATAAACTGTATATAATCCCATATAAACAAACCTTTCTTTCTCGTCCAATCAATAAGTAAGTCAAGATAACGTAAAGCTTCGATTTTGTATGTTAATTCCAGACCAAGAACGAAGAAATTAGCAGCAAACGATTTGTTGTTACTCATATTATCCTTTGAAATAGCATTGGAAAAGGTTTCTAAACAGGCTTTAATTAACAAACTAGTTGATTCTGGTCGATAAGCCAAAAGTAAAAGACCAGAAGGATGAGAACACAGTGCAAATAATAACTCATGAATAGAGACTTGGATCTGAATGACCAGAGATGAAATATTCACTTCATATAGATCATCTGATCCACTTTCTTGCAGTACATCTTCATTGATGTTAGTTATCTTATTGGTCATCTGAGTTAATGAATCGATTAAATCACTGAAAAAGAATTAATGGAATATGAAAATCTTAGGAAATTGATTACATGAATTAGTACTGCATGCAAATTATGCTTGGTAACAGTGACAGGAGAATACGATTTTATTCACGCGCTTTTTTAGGTTGGGAGTGTTTCAAACGTACAAGAAGTTTAGCTTAGTTCTAGTAAATGGTTATGATTTTTAGAAACCTTTTCTTATGGAAGTGCTTGGATATGATGATAATCTCATCACAATACATCCAAATTATATGTACAATCCGACTGCATTAAACCTTCGGATATAAAGTCCTGAAAATACCTCGCATTCTTAAAACTCTTGAGATTAATGATTTTGGAAAGCATCAGAAACCAAGTGTGGTAAAACAAATGCGTGAGAAAATACTCACGGTCATTCGTTCGGTACAACATAACGACGTAAGCGAAGACTCACCAAGCGTAACGTATGAAGCAGTTACGTTAATCTATTGGGACAAATAACCTTTCTAACTAATAATTTACCTCTGGCATCCAATACTCGACAGCTAACTCCTGTACGTTGCTCAAATGATGTTTTTATCACCGGCAAGGCATGTCACAAGGATAAAAGTGGTGGAACATTTACAGGTTTCATTAAGTGAAATCAAAGAGCTAGTTAAAAGAAAAAATGAAATCAGATATAGAAAAAATTTCAGTTAGTCACCATCATCAACATGGGACCTGGCATTATCATCTAACGGTCCGAGCTGATGGTTATCAGAAACAGATACTGTGCTGCTGGATTTCTCCAGGATACTAACACTTTCAACTGCTCAGACCATGGGAAGCAGCTTCTTGGATTTGCTGGACCAGAAAGTGGAGTAGTTTAACGTGACTGTAGAACTGAAAGGATATTTTCGAGGCATTTACACGTATTCTTTGTGAACTGGTATTTCTTAGAGAAATTCTAGAATTATCGACATGAAGTCTGCCAAACCAAAAAGAAGCATCTTTCGAGAGTACGAGATGTCAACACTAAGAAGATCATAGATAACGGCAAAGGAAAGGAAACCTTTTCAATTATTTTTCAAGAGCGTGTGAATCTAGTACATCTAGAACACTAGTTTCAAAGGCAAAAGGTTACGAATGCGCTGGTCTACTATGAACGTACTCAGCAATCTGAAAAGCAGTACCACACACCATAACGATCCCTACCTTATCCTACCAATGCATAGAGAATAGTGGGACCTAATGGTACAATGTTGAAGTCCACAGGTAGGTTATGACAGTTTATCAAAATAGTGGATTTTGATCGCAATTTCTAATTCATTACTGATCCTAGTTTGATATGGATTATAAACCCCGTGAAGCCAGAGAAGTGCAAAAATAAATCACCTATCTTTTTACACCCTTTCACTCACAGTATCAAACAAAAGACAAAATAGGTAATAAGCAATACCAAACTTACCAAGAGTCTATCATAGAGCATAAATCTGCATATGGATTATGAGAAATGCGTTTACTCTCATTTAATAGTAATGGAGACGGAAGCGATGATCGAGGGTTTGCCTACAACAGAAATCAATATCACATTGAAAACAGTAGTGAAAAGATATGAGATATATATGTAGTGACAGTGGATAACTCGGTTCCAAAATCTGAACACAATAATAACAGAGAAACAATGAAAGTAACCTAAAAGTTGCACCAAATCCACTCAAATATCAACATGTATGTCTTTTAAAATAATGGCAGATTTCAAGTTTGAAAGCGCGGTGCACTGGTTGAAAGCCGAGCACCCAGACTGATCAGCTACAGATTCATAAGAACAACAAGTTTCAATTTACATTCATTTACACAACACAGAAATCTTCCTGAAGGCATAAATTATCAAACGCATCAAATCTGACAAGCTATGCAGAAAACATTAGACTTCATGACAGTTAAATGTTCATTATGCAGATGCAATCTTTGAAACAAGCATCATCAGTTCTTATGAAGTTATCAGTTAGGGTATGAATTCACTACAACTAACCTCAAGATCTTAAAAAGAACTCAGGCAAACTGCTACACTATATGTATGATCAGCTTAGTAATAACACAATTTTCATATCTTGTGGACTCCTGTTAAATAGACGACAAATGGTGAGTTTTCTAGACGTCTTCAGAACAAGACATCCGAATATATTCAATAGAATAGAGGACCGATATTTCGAGATTAGTCGGACCTTACAAAGAAACTAATATTTGCACTGGTCAACAACAGCTGCGTTGTATTAATTGGTTGAATTTAGTGACTGAGTAACGGTTGACGGTATTTAAATACATACCTTCTATGCATAAATACAATTTTTATAGCATAAAGATGATTGACATATGGATATGTAATGAAGTAATATTCTACGAGGCCATCATTTTTACCTAGGAAACTAAGATTTCAACTTTAGTCAGTGGTGGATAACCGCTAAAGTGAAAAAAATGATCATCAAATATTACGTGCAAGGGGGTGAAAAATGTAATCGACTTACAATTACTTGTTCAGCATTTTGAAATATATGTGTAATTTTACGTAGTTGACTGACTAAAATGTTTTCTAACTCCAAGAGTTTAGGTAAGCTATTATTATCCGAATAGAGATGTTTACCAATAGTCTGAAATCTAAAAACAACAGTTGCGGTTTATGTATTTTTGCAAAAAAAAACTGAGTACCAATAAAAATCTAAGCAATGCTTATTGCTAAGTAAATACGATGAAGATTTTGGTGACAACATTTTGATGAGCTTAGCAAAAATGCTGTCTACAATAATCTGCTTACTGTCTTACAAAATTCAATGATTATAAACTTCAATTATGCAGTCCAAGAGCGCTTTATTTTTCTCTGAAATTCCAAGCTGAAGGTATTACGTGCAGTCAAAAATAGACTCGTATCTTCCTAATTCTTCGCAGTTAGTCTATCTCAGCACCTGAAACATTGTTAGCTAGACCACAGCATAGAAGTTTTTATTCTGGTACGCTAATTTACTGTGATAAAAACCACATACATTTACAACAACTGAAAGCGGTAAGTGTTATTCCTGGTTGGAAAAATATGTCTAGAAATGCACAGCTTAGTGATTGAGATGCACAGAGATGCAAGCTAGTCTCTGAAACAACATAAGTTTTCTTTTTAAAAAATGTAGATACACCTTGCTAGGAAGTATAAACAAGCAGGAACGATTAGTTCGCAAATCCAATGGCCAAAATGTCAGTACGAATTCAGAAGGCTACTTCGACTTTTGCCAGCTCACACTATTAGTGACTTACGACACACATCCACGTGCCCATTAGGAAAGAAGCGGACTATAACACAGTGGAACGCTTTGTCGTGATGTTGCATACGGGAACCCTAAGGCGTTTCACTTGTGAGATGTCAAAAGACATAAGCTATCTCAACCATGTTGATTTGCTGACTTAATGAGTAAGCATACTGTGCCGAATCATGTCCATATTTTAATTTGCAGAAATATCGGGATGGTAATATCCACAAAACTAAGTGTCATTCAGTAAACAAGACAGTTTCACTATGTGTTACATCAAAGGAACAATGGAACTTTCAGTGAACCTGCCACCGCCGTAACCATATACGTTGAGATGAGTAGCTGGTACTTTCATACTTCTTAACACTAAAATTCTGGTAAATAAAGTCCTCAAAAGACAAGCATGTATGCGAAATATGCGTACCGAAATAGCAATTGAAATAAAGCTATGCAACGGAGTAACTAGTAGACGTCATCATGACTGTTCTGCACAACCTTTAGTTTGAAAACGTATGAAGCATAGCTATGTACTAATTCAATAGCATTCGTAAAGATTCGAAAAATCCCATGTGATATAAACAACTATCTGAGTACAAAATAACTACGCAAGTTATACACTGACTTCTCATAGTACTTACTTTCTTTTTTACCATAACGCACCTTCATACGGTTTCACAGTGATTAACTCATGTGTATCACAATTACTAGTAGACTAAAAACATTTTAGACTTACTGATTTACAGATTTTCGAAATTCGGAAAGGAGTTCATAGGTGTGCACTTTATTTAACAACCGTTCATAAGCCGCAGTGACACGAGAGTTCTGCAAAAAATAAATGACAGATTACTCAGTAAGGAGATAACCTGAGTTAAATTACAGTACCAAATAAAACTTGAGTTTTGTGCAGTGTACGCAAAAGTTGGTGTTTTTTTATTATTTCTTGAGACCTGACAGTGAACTTTATATCAAACAATGTCAGTTACCAAGCTACATACTTTAACATCTACAATCAAACATCAAACCTGAGAGACAAACAAACATCTATCGTTGTTTTTGTTGATATTTGTCATTCCTCATTGCCAAACTGGCTTGAATTCCGCGACCTCTGATGGCATATGGGTTCCTATGTGAATGCCTCAATACTCCATGAATATTCATTATGTAGTGTTCTAAAAGAAACTGGCTAGCAGAAGGATCTAGGATACACGTTTTGTCCCATTTAGGACTAGTCAACCGGATGCACCTGCACACCCCAGTGGGTGATGCTGTTCCCATTAACACTCGAACCCAGTATCCATCCATATCAAACACCAAAGCGTTATCAACTAGTGGCTTAGTGGATGCATCCCTCTGACGAGTACTGAACAGGACTAAACGCGAGTCATGGATTCCAACGCTAGCCACCAAACAAATTACAAATATTTATCGATTGACTACCCTAATAGACCAATCTAGCCTGATTAGCTAGCTCACTAATTACTAGCCGGTCCTAAGCCCAGATAAAGAGGGAAATTTGGGCATACGCCTAACAACCCTACCCCGTAAAACCAATCTAACCGCTAAACAAACTTCAAAACACAAAGAAAATATAAACAACAAAAATTAATTTATTCCTCGCTGGAATCGGAGAGACGAAATAACACCGGTTGGTGAAAGCATTCCGGAAACCAACTGACGAAGTGTCTTCTCTCTCCCAAAGGAAAGCAAAAAGTAGGCATAGGGATATGGAATGTTCATACAATGTTTGGAGCTGGCAGGCAAGGCTGCAAAGATTGCAAAGGAGATGAGAAGATACACCATAGAAGTAATAGGAACCTGCCAAAGTAGATGGGATGGAAGTGGATTCTCCAAACTGTCAACTGCAGAGTCAATAATCTACTCCAGTATTGTCATCCAGACGACAACCACGAGCACAAAGAGTTATGGAGTGGCTATCATGATGTCCCCTTGAAGAGAATCGAAGGCTTCTCGCATGCAGTGGAAAGCAATCTCCTCCACAATCATGATCATGACAGCAGAGTTCAACTCAAAAGGAAGGAAAGTTACAATCATACAATGCTACACAACGCACCTACAAAAAATGCAGATCAAGAAAAGAAGAAGGGATTTTATAGACAACTGCAATCAGTAATAGACTATACCCCATCCCACATGGCGACATCAAAATTCTAATGTGTGAGGTGACATGAATGCCAAACTGGGAGCGGACAACACAGGGAGAGAACCAATCATGGGTCGAGAAGCACTCGATAAAATGATGAATGAGAATGGAGAGCTGCTTGCAGACTTCTGCGCATTCAACGATCTGGTGATTGGAAGCACTGTGTACAAACACAAGGATATTCACAAGGCAGCGACATGGATTCGATTTCACCAGACACCAGGACACACTAAAAATCAGATCGACTTCATCTCAATCGCAAGAAAGCGGAGACACAGTTTATTGGACACAAGATCAGATCAAGAAGAGGAGCAGATGTAGGTTTACACCACTCACTATGTAATACACGGATCCTACCTTCAAAATCACGTTGAAAGCCTTCACAGAAGTTGGTGGTAGACCACAGTTCAAGTTTAAGTTGAACACCCAGAACAGAAACTGAACTGAAGGACGAAACTACAAAGGACATCTTCACGTCAGCCAATCATCAGAACAAAATAGGAGGCATAGAGCAATATCCCTGAAGGATCGGGCATGGAAGAACACTGGAGCTCTTTGAAACAGATGTGGAAGGAAACCTGCATAACCACGTTGGGAAGGAAGAAGAAAGAAGATAAGCAATGGATCTAGATGGACACATGGATGCTGACAGAGCAGATATAATGGACGATGGTGAACCAGCGCAAGGATGCACAACGAAAAGAAGAACTGAGTACGACGTATAAAACACTGGACAAAGTAGTGAAGAAGAGTGCACGCAAAGACAAAAGACACTTCCACGATACACTGGCAAGTGAAGCAGAACACGTTGCTGGTAGGAAAGACAGAGACCTGACAACATTATATCAAATAACCAGGTAACTTGCTGTCTGGGAAGAGATCAACACAGATAAAACCAATAAAAGATGATGGAAGAAATTTAATTATCAAAGGGGAGATGCAAAGGAAACGATGGGCAGACCACTTCAAAAAAACTCTTGACTCGACCGCCACCTGCAACTCGTCCAGAAATACTACCAGCACTCCAGCCACAGAACTATCAGTGAACACAAGCCCTCCAACAAAAGCAGTAGTGAAGTCCTGAGCGCCATAAAGTTGCTGAAATGTGGGAAAGCAGCAGGATCAGAAGCACTGAAAACAGACGCAGAAACAACAGCGGACATGCTCACACCACTATTGCACAAGGAAGGGAAGGAAGGAAGAGAGGAAGGCATGAAAGATACCTGGTGATTAAAAGAAGAGCTACCTTATCAAACTTCAAAAGAAAGGAGACCTAAGTCTTTGCAAGAACTGGTGCGGAATCATGCTCATGTCCCTCGATGTCCACCCCAAGCAAAATATTAAACCACATCATCCTAGAGAGACTAAGAGGAAAGTGCTCTCGATTCAAAATTACGATCGGAACAGGCTGGCTGGCTGTCTGGCTTCAGGAAGAACAAATCATTTGTGGATCAAATTGCAACGCCATGCGATGCGCATCATCATAGAACAGAGTATGTAGTGGCAGTCAACTCAACCTCCAGCTCAACTTCATCGACTTTGAAAGGGCCTTCGATAGCGTCGACCGACGATTAATTTGGAAACTGCTTCTACACTACGGTTTTGCTGCTACAAACCTTTATCAACCTCATTCAACAGCTATATGCTATGCTATATGATGAGGCTACATGCCGAGTGATTCAAAATTAAAAGGTCACTGGTGCCTTTGAAGTGAAGGCAGGAAGGGGTAAGACAAGGTTGCCGCCTACTATCACCGATGATCTTCCTAATTGTAGTCGACTAGACTGGACTGAGTCATGCAGCAAACAACTGTGAGGAGCGAGAAGATGAGCACACGCTGAATGGACCAACGAAAATACCCCGGAACAAGGTTTGGATTTCACCGAAGATGATGATTTATGTCTCATCGCACAAACTCGGAGATCTACAGGCGAAAACTAACAAGTTGACAGAAGAGGTGGCGCAGTGAAGACGGGACTTCAAGTGGATGGAGTGAAGATAGAAGTGATGAAGATACCCACCCAACAACAACAATAACAACATACACCAATCACCATCAACCGGAGAAATGTTTAGGAAGTTGTCTCTTTCAGCAACCTAGGCAAGGCAGCATAGTATCAACTACAGGTGGCGGCACAGATGAGGACGTCAAAACCAAGATCGGAAAGACAGCAAGACAGGCCTTCATTAATCTGAAATCAGTGTGGAGATCGACTGCACTGCACCCAGCAAAAAGATTGAAGTAGATGCAGATTTTCAAGACTAATTTAGTCAGTGCTTCTGTGTGATGGTTCAGAGACTTGGCGCGTCACGAAAAGCATTTCCGACAGGCTACAGACATACATCAACAGCTGCCGCCTTCGCTCATTCGGTACTGAAGATCAGATGGTCAGAAAGAATGAGCAGCAAGGAACTCTGGCAACGAACCAATCAAGAACCTATCGCCGAACAAATATGCAGAAGGAAGTGAAAATGGATTGGGCATACACTGAGAAGAACATTCGGAGACATCATGTGTCAGGCCAGGCCTCTCGAGTGGAATTCAAGGGGGAAATGACGAGTTGGGCGTCCCAGCTAAGGGTGACATGGAAGAGATGGTGGGAGGAAGAAATGAAAGCTTTTGGGCAGTTGTGGAGCCAGGTTGAAGATATTGCAGAGAAGAGAGTGCAACGGAGGCGTGCTACTGAAGCCCTATGTTCCACTAGGAACCCAAGGGACAAATAATAAAAAAGTAATAATAATCTAGATAGACTATGTAGAATGGGAAGGAAGTGATATGCAAAACAGAATAAACCCAGAAGTAATTAGGCACAAGACTATATGCTTCCGGAACTGCCTTTGTCCTAAAATAATTTAAACATACAGTCAAATATATACGTAAGTAGTGGATCCTTACTAAAAGTTTTGAATAAAGTGATTATTACAAATGATTAACAAGTATGCTTCACACAAAACATACAAAGTGAAAAATTCTGGCCAGTAAAGTGAGACAAATAAAGCATCATAGGCGTATAATTTTGACCTATCAGATTAGAAATGTGAATAAAACAGTTGGTAGTCTTGTTTTTCTAATGCCTTTCGCATAACGGATTAGGGGAAATGAGAGGAATGATTGGTAAGATGTGTGAAAAAGTGCAAGCGCTATTGGCTTAAAAATAATGAACTCGCTACATAACTCGAGTGAATTCTTTTAAGATATGATAGGATAATAATAGTAAAAATAATGCAAATCAGTAGCCGAGTACAATTTCAAGTACAAAGTTTTGAGTCACATGTCTAGACTAAGGTAGGTGAAGAGGTGTTCGAATAAACTGAAAGCTGCAAATAAACCAGCTTTGTGAAGTAGTCATTATACACAAACCATTAAGAAAAATTTAAGAACCAACGGTTTGAAAATAATCTGGTATGCCCACGATAGCCGGAGAAAAAGTTAATTCCATAGGTACAGAGAATTTTAGTTTCACTCTACAGTGGTGTACAGAATGTGGAAACAGTTGTTTTTTGAGGCTCAAAAAACCTAAACCCTTAAATATGAACAGCATTCAAAAGCAATCAAAGTAACATTGACATTGTAAATTAAGCTTAGAAAATAGAAATTAAACTAGCGGACGGACTGTATTGATAGACAGTATTCAAACATCATTGTACTTTGGTAACTTATAACCAATAGTGAAGTTCATCTCCAAAAGTATAGCAGCAAGCAATTTACGAAAACCATCATTAGTAAGAAATAGAAAAGTAATAAAAAGGGTGTAGATAAAGAAAACTTATCGTCTAGACATGTATTTATCTCTTGAGAAACTGGAGATTTTGTATGACTTCCGGTCCTAATCAGTTAGGCGTCAAATAAATATCATCAGTATGTTTCCAAAAATTATCTGATGTAAGTAATCAGCAGGTGTTAAGCTCTCTTTGATGTAGGGAAAATAGATATCAGAGACAATAATTCTTAAGAAATAAACAAAAAAAGAAATATGATCATGTTCTGACTCTCCAGTTTTGCCTGATACTCACTGATCAAGAAATAGAACTAGAAAACAACTGAATTGCGACATCTTTAATAAGTTATATTCAGTGTTGGGAAACCTATATGGTTCAGTGATGTATAGCAACGCTGTATTCTAGTTAGATAACTCACAACTGACCGATTATACTGATTTCTAAACACCTACTACTATCTTTAAAGAAAACCAATGAATAGTGTTACGCAATCCCACCCGATAATTCCCTACCCATTATTTAAACGAAATATCATATATAAACATTTCGAACAGTCTGATCACACAAGGACTTGTCGAACTATTTATATGAAAATTTACGAAAAGGGTCAGATAATCTTCGTCTTCTCATTACGCTGTTTAAATTTATCAAGTGGACTAGTTGCTTTAAATTTTTAAAAAGAAGCCACGCATTATTATTATTATTATTACTGCTATTAGACAAGAGAATAGAAAAAAAATGAAATGTGCTCTGAAACCATGTGCACTTTTGTGCAGTAGGCGATTAGCCACACCTACTGTGTGAGAGTTAATGATACTAATTAAATTCACAAACCTTGGTAGATAAAAAGTGGGTTCAAACCCTTGACCCACCGGTTAGGAGATGGGTGCCTAGACTATTAACTGAAGAGATTAAATGTCAGTAAAAGTATAAAAGAAAACTAAGGATATTTATCAATAACATGGTAAAACTAGCACTGAAATTTCCTTACTTTACTACCACTAACGATAAAGATGAAGCGTTGATACGGTGATTGGATCTTATTGGAAGAAAAAGGATTCTCAGGCATTTGTACATCATCGACTTGTTCTTTTTTTGGACATTCATCCCATTTTACTTGACCATTACACTGTTCATTTTCTTCGTCATCCATTTTAACTGCGGTGGATTGATTTGCGTCGTTTGGACTCGTTTGGGTTTTTGGCGATAAACAATCAAAACTCATTATATCCTCCCTAACATTAACCTTTTGGTCAGAATCTACTGGTTTTATACCTAAAAAGGCATTTAGACCAATAGGTAATCGAGTAGTCTGATCTAGAGCACGACAAATTGTAAGCCTCAGTGGTGTTGTTATTAAAGGAGATTCCAAAAGATTCAGAAGAATATGTTGAACCTGAAAGAACGGGAATATTTTTGAAGAAACATTACTGGTAAAAGTAAATATCATGAAACAACTTCTTGAATACTGTTTTTGTCAATCGACCAAGCCTGTAATTATGCGGAAAATGTTAACATGACGGTTATTTTCTTTCTAATCAACTAATGAAGTTTGAAAGTACTTCGAAACGAATGAGAATTCGGCACCTAAGTACTGAATTCTCACTTATCAATAAACCAAACAAATTCAGAATTTATAATTAGAGAATAATGTCATCGACAAAAGTAATATTAAATATTACTGATCTGAATGATGATCCCAATATTTATAAGCTGTTTTCATAGCTTTGGCTGGATATCAGGAAATGTAGAGGACAGTGACACTAATTAACAGTTGGAAACAGTTCACGCTAACTAAAGAGAACAGTTTGAAAAAGGAGGTTAGAGATCATCACAGAACTCCTAAAAACATAACCCACATGCCAATCGAAACATTGCGGGGAATTTAGATAACTTCATTTAATCACTATCTCATCTAAACCAAATGTGCTAGTGGTAGCCCACCAAAATTAACAAAAGCTGAAATGCTTGTAAAAAAGTGAAACAAGGAAAAGTCCAAAACTAAAACGGTCCACCCAGGGAAATTCCCCAGAAATGTTGTTCAAAACTATTGACTAGGCTGACTGATGTGCAAACTTTGGCAACGGAAACAGAAGTACTTCACTCAGACTAGGTTAAGTTTCTGGTCATTTAGTTTATGATGAATGAGATATATACAGTTCTGAAAAACTCAGAAAAGTCAGGTTCACTAAGATACTCCTCTGTAAGATTATACAATGCAAAGTCACACGTTACATATATAAAATTTTGGAAACAGTGTAGAGGTAACCGGCCTTCAAGTTGTGACAAAGGTACATCGTTCAGATCATTAACTTTCACCATATTACGAAAAGCATAACGTTACCTCAAGGCGACCATGCATTTCGATCTGGAAAAGGTATTTGCTTATGCTGTCTGTGAAGTCCTCTGAGAGAATCTGAATGTGTAGGCAGTGCCGAATAAATTTATCAATACCGAAAACCCTTAACTCAACCCCAAACAGACTCTGTGAGGAATTGTCATCGGAGCTGACAAGAAACAGTAGTATTTTTAAGGATGTCTGCTGTAAATCTTCCTATTGCCGTGACATATGTTGATGGAAGCGACTCTCTGTCTTGAGATTTCTCGCTGACGGTTGTTCTTCCATAGATCCTCTGATTGACGTAGCACAGACACTCTGGTAGGCAAATACACACTGACAGGATGGTCTGTCAAATACCTTTAAAGAGATTGGAAAACCTTTCGTATGCATTTCGTAGACGCTAAATGTAGGATAACAACCTTGGGGATACTTACGGAGTGCTATGCCAACGAACCCACAACGGTTGCATTTTGCTCGTAGAATCACTCTTTTCCTGACCAGCACCAAATTTAGGCATAAGGAGAGAAACTTTCTTATATGGTGAACGCCCACTTCAAACCAACGATGGACACAGATAGATCACATTGCTATAAGCCATTGTTGGAGACGATTGTCGGAGGATTATCACTCTTTTTGGAGTGCCAGTTTGGACTCGGATCACGCGCTCGTACGGGCTTGTGTATGCCTGCACCTCACTGGTCGCAGGAAACAGGAGGTAGTGGGGCCAATTTGTGCTCGACTAGATAGGGATGCCAAGTATGCATTTAGAGAGGAGTTAACTAGGCATAAACGTGACAGCAATTCTCATCCTGAAGAAACATTGCATGTTATTAAGTCTACTGTAGAAAAAGCGGTAAAACAATTGGTAACCTACAGCCAAAGGTTGGCAAATGTCAGTGGGTTTCCGTGACGGCATTTGAACTGGCTAATGCGAGAAGACTCATTCCAGCTGGCTCTGAAGAGGATGAAGGGCGAAAGCAACTTCAACAAAACGTTGAACAGAACACTTTAGAGCCCACTTTAGCTGGCCATCAGCGACGCTTTAGTTGCCTAACATCCAGCCTGAAGCTGGATGGGACGGAGATGTCGGTCCTCCAACTCTCCTTGAAATTGAGAAGGCTGTATGGAACGTGAAACGATGGGAGTCAGTAGGATCTGAAAGTTTGCCACCTGAAATTTTTAAGGATGGAAGTACAACATTGCTAATTAAAGTGACGAAGGTACTAGGTAGTGTATGAGAATTAGAGGTGGTGCCGTCAGACTAGTGTGCTTCACTGATCATCCCAGTCTATAAAAAGAGAGAAATCTTTTTGTGGCAACCATAGTAGAATTAGTTTGACTAATACTATGTCCAATATCCTAGGGTTCACAGTTATCCGACGCGTGACTGGAGCTCGTGAAGAGAAAACTCGAGAAAACCAGCCAAGTTTCAGACCTGGATGAGGATGCATCGAACATATTTCTACCACCCGACAAGTTCTGAAACCCTGTAGGACTTCGCAGCATTGCTCGCGTTTACAAGAATCACGGTGTGAGCAATGTTGAGGTCAGGCGAAGGGTACTAGGCAAGAAAGTCAATTCGATTGATGAGGTTGTGAATCTTAGTCGACTCAGATGGCTCAGACATGTACTGTGCATAATAAAGCCACTGTCTGCCTAGAAGTGATATGCTAGGGGAAACTGCAATAAGTTGGAAGAGGGTTCAGAGTGGTCAGACCAACACCTGACACCAGTCGATGAAGTGTATTACTGCTGGTCTGAGTTGTGTGAGATGTAGACTACCTGGTTAGGGTCCCCAAGACGATACGAGTTAGTGGTTCAGAACTCTTGGTGACATGCCTGGAAATCGGTCATGATGGCTTGGATGAATATTTGAACTAAGCGTTATCTTCAAATTGTTTATTCTCTCAACACAACTTTGTCTGCTTTCATTTCACTCTTTTTCTATCCCTGTTCTTTGTATACTACCGTGAAGTGTAGTGACTTGGAGCCAATGCGTTGATTTTGTCAGTCAGTCACAACTTTGGTTAAAACCGATGCTTGCTAAGAAAAATAAAACATGAATTTATAGCGATTACGATACTACTTTTCTAAACAGCTGCATCAGTCATGGTGGGTTACTAATCGATAAGATTTCAATATCAAAATGGAAACGTGATTGACGTTTATTGACCTTTTCTGATGAGATGTTTCTAACGTATGAGGAGTTTACCGCATAGCAGCCAATTTCATCCTACTATAGCACTGTGAGATATCACTTTAGAAAACGTGCTAAGTATAAGGGACTCAATCATGTGTTTTTGAAACATGCTTACATACGATGCAGTCAGTGTGTTAGCCAGGTTGAAGCTGGATTTCATAAATTTAGATAACGAAGGCAAGCTGAACAAAGTTATAAAGTTGCTTTACGCGTGGTGAACAGGATGTGTTAGACATAACCAGTCGCTGTTTACTCCAAAACGAAATGCTCGTTGCAGCAGAACTAGAACTAGATATGGTGAAAACTAAGTGTAACCTCATTAAAATTTGGTACCACTGAACAGCCTATTTACTGAAGCTATTGTGTAGGACTTCCTGGACCTCTCTTTCTCTTTAATTCGGCTTCTTAACGACACAGGACCCATTAATTTAGAAATGTCGTCAATTGCTAAATCATCATCGCAATTTCATATCTTATCTTGTTTTCATCCCAAGTAAATAACCTTTCGTACTTCCTAACCAACTCTGTGATATTTGATGCGCCTAATAAAAGTGCTTTTATTACATCTACTTCTGTTGCCTCATTATTATGTATAAAAAAGCAACGTTACCCTGTAGCCATATTCTCATTTTTGTGCTAATCAAGTTGCTCATCTTAAAAACTCAGCGCCTAGAATTATCTGCTGTTGGTGGGTAGCTATAATGAACGAAAAACTGAATTTATGACAACAAATCTCCATAATACAATCTGATACCTCTGCGGTCTCAAACATATGTCCACCCATAGTTTGAGCTGTCAACGAGCACGGTTTCAGACTCTGATAATGTTTTGCAGAATTAACTAAACACGTAATTTCTTATGTAGTCCTCCGTAGTCTAGTACACATCACATCTCTGTTTACTCCCCCTTCTACTTCGGCTTTAATTAGAAATAACAGCGCAGTGTTTTTGTCCTCTTCTCTCCAGACGGTTTCTTCGCCAATGTCAGGCAAAGAACTAGCTTCCCTAACTGGCTTTCATTTGAAAGATAACTATCTGCTGCATATTGTTAACTCCCTTCTCTCACTGATATACCTTTGGTGTCTTCACCAAAGCCACCATCATATTCATCAACCGCATAGTTAATCCTGTTAAATTACTATAATAAAACATAAAGTAATAAAGAAGAAAGTAATCAGAAGTGGTAGAAAGTCATGAAAATAGAACACGGAGGAATGAGATGATATTGAAATTTGCTATAACGGTTAAAATAAAGATAATATGTGGACACATCTACGTCGCGAACATCGATCCTGAGACATGCCACCCAGTCTCCAATCACCGGTTTCTGTTGCCATTCAGACCAGAACCGGAAAGTCTACATTTCCCCATACGGCTCAAATCAGCAGTAGAAAACTTCATGCAATATAGTCATGCTTTAGTCTGGTAGTCTCTTACCTTTTTTAACCTCAACCTACTTCATATGACGTTGAGCAACAAGGCAGGTGACTAGGGATGTATAACGCATGACCTAGCCACCTCAGTCGACGAAGGTTTACAACCTCACCGAACAACTTTCCTTGTCTCATCAGAACTCTGCGTCTGACTTCCACGTAACTGATTCCGTGATCCCACGACACATGGCCTATCCTATCAAGACAACGGTGGTTGGTTAAACAAGATAGAAGTGCAGACCAGTCCTGGAGAAAAACTTACATCATAGTGGCAAAAAACGAACCCTAAGCATTCCCGAATTGCTACCCAAGAAGATATCCAGAAGACTCTGCATCTTGTCAGTGTTGTCATCTAAAAAAAATACGTCAGCTGAAAATTCTAGTCCTACTAAGGATTCTCCTGTAAAGAGACGGGTACCGGTAAATTCAGATGACAGAAAAAACTCCATCAGCATGCCTGTGGAGAAATTAAACAATAACAGAGAGAGTGGACATTCTTGACAGACACAACTCACCTGACAACTCATAATTGACCCCGACACCCCCATAGACATTACAGTACTAATTCTTCAATAGAAGGATGTGCCTACTCGGCACTCCTTTCCGTGAGAGACACCCCTCAATCGACGGAGTCAAATGCCACTTTCAGATCGAGAAATGCAGTCAGTGTTGTGTGTCGGTAAGTGTGCCTGTGTCCCACAACTTGACAGAGTGAATATTTAGCCGACACATCCACGATTAAGTTTGAAACCTACTTGGTTTTCTCTGGTTGTCTACATTTGACGGTCTGATAGTTATAGAGCCTAGAATCCTAGATACTAATCGTCACGTTGATTTCTGTGTGGTTATCACGAGACAATTTCTCTTTTTTCTTGAAGACTGGGACAACCAGTGATTGAAACCAGTCAAACGGGATATTATCTGACTCCCATACACCATCTGCCACATCAACTAACCTGATCCATAGTCACTAACCACTGTCCTTGGATGCCTTCAGCACTAGTACGTCTGGATCTGCTGTCCGTCGTTTCAGGTTACTTACAGCTTTTCTCAACTTCTGCGAGAGTTCGAGGCCACATTTCAATATTCCATTCACGGTCCGACTGGACAGCAGGCAACGGAATAAGTAGCTGGAGACCAAGTGTTCCACTAATCGTTCTAGTCATTTCCCTTGTGAGTAGATCTCAGACCCACCTGCCATGACCTCACTAACCATCAACCTCTTCGCTCCTCATTGTGCTCGGAGTCTGCTAGAATGCCTACGTGTCCATCTATAATTTCTAAAGAAACTGCTGAGACCCAATGGCCCTTTCTAACTGCTCACACAAGTTTGGGTACGGTCTTTATTTTACAGCAGACTGGAGATGACACAAATTTCTGCTGGATGAGTGATGTGCTTCTACACTGTCAGACCAATTTCTCGCTAAAGGCAGTTTGAGAATTCTCACTGTAAGCAGCACCGATACTCTTCAGTGGTAAATGACAACAGTATGTAGATCTCTTCCACCATTCAGTTGAAGTCGGTGGATGCCACACCAGTCAATATCTCTCTTCATGTCTGAAATCACTGCTGGTCAGAAATACATAGTTGTTTGAGCGCAGTTTTAGCAGGCGATCGCTATTATCTGTTCGTTTGGCTGGGATTTCAAAAGAGCTAAAAAAAAAGTACCTTTCTGAGAGAGATGTTAGTTGAATGGAGGCAATCGGCAGGAAATCCTGGACCTAGGTTTCGTGTTTTTCGGCACTCGTAAGCAAGGCGTAACTGCAACCTCGACAGAACTGATATCCCCTGTGAGATTCGAACCTGCATCCCCCAGTACTGCAGTCAGAAAGGTTACCACTAGGTTATTCGGGTTCCCAAACGGACTCCCTTTATGACTGAATTAGGTGCATTGATTGGTTAATGGAGAGTAAATAATCCAATGTGGTCGAATACAAAGTGTTGACTTGCTTTAGTCTACACACTTGTGCATTGAAACCACCTGCTACGACAATATCTGAACCCTTGGGTTTCAGGAAGAGGCTAGACAGTATTCAGTAGAACTCATCCGTCACTTCCTCCGAACTGAAGTCAGTGGGTATATACGGGAAGACTATAAAAAGAAAACGGAGTTTCAATACCCTATTGATTCCTCACTGCATCGCTCAGTCGAAGAAGGCAAAGGCGACTGTTAACTGGAGTTCAGCTGAGTAGTGCACTTTCTATCTCATTATTTAATGCTATGCTTACACCAGCGAAACCGGAAGAACTGGCCGCTAAATCTCCAAAAATTCGAAAGACGCATTTTACAGATTCACTATAGTGACTAGGTGAGGTTGAATGGATAACCGCAATCCGGTAGTGTACGCATGTCTCACAAACGCAACACACATCCATTGCCTTGGATGCTGGAGTTTTGGCTAGTGAAACTTGCTGACCGATTCGATGGAGGATTTGGACATTGAAAGCCTCAATAAGTCTTTTGGAGCGCAGTTTCAGGAGACTGGGAATGTTATTCCGTAAACTCGAGTCGTTATCGAGAACCCCAGAGCCGGAACAAAGTAAAGATGATGTAGGAATTTTGACCGAGAGACGTGAAAAAGTAGTAAAGGCGAAAGTTTATAAATGGTATGGAGGAACTTGATTGCTGACGGTGTTTTGGAGGCGAGGGAGACTCCTCAAGTACCTACACTATGGAGGATTACTTCTTCCTGAGGGACCTTAGAAACGAATTGGGCTGGTAATAAGTAGCGTGTGCCTTCAGAGCTCAAGAGACACCTGCTTGAGATTGGTCACATACGGTCATTTTAGAAATTCGGAAATTAATTTTGTTAGTTCTGAATCCAGCTATAAAACCATACAGTCTGCAGACAATAGGACAGCGGGGAATGTGCTTTTGGGGGCTTACATTTACTAACCACCCCGTTGCTATAGGGAAGGTAGTATGGTACTGGTGGCCAACCATGGGAAACACCTTACTATTGTCACACCCCGTCCAGCCAGCAGTACGATTTATCCCTCGAAACTCCATCATAGCGTATCAATTTACATTATAGCGCCAACTGCTTTTTGTCTCATCACTATCCCATTGATCTTTCTGGAGTTGTACGACCTCAGGTGAACGACTCCACCAGGATGATTCTTTGGGTCAGTGGGATATGCAAGTCGGACCACAATTTCAAGATAACGGCTACCAGTCTTTTACCATGATTTCTCAGACCGCCTTTCGCTACACATTCTGTAGGCCGTCATATACTGCTTTCATCTGACTACACAGGAACATTCCCAGTACTACTTTCTACGCCTTCGGGTGCATGACACCCACCGTGTCTACTACAGTTCGATGTTCCGTCGGAAGCTCATGATATCTCTCGCCTAGGATACCGAAGGACATAGTATCTTCATTTTGTCCGTAGGCAGCTACAGCAATCGAATAGATGTCCAGCGGGGCAGCAGAGTTTATTTATTGGAAAATTACAACTGATAATTATAAAAACATTTAAAAAATCACAATAAAGTAACAGAAGCAAACACTTTCCTTTTTCAAAAGTCCAGTTTGTTATGTTCTTGTGCTTTTCATTGTTTTACTCGATGTCACGTCTTCTTTTCTCCGAATCTTCACCAGTAGCTTATTACTTTTTTTGTCTTTCAATGTTGCTCTACATACTATGTATGTAAATTTCTATAAATACCGTTCACGACAGGCTATGAGAAACACATGTATGATGCTTATGATGCTATCCAATTACTCGAGCCAAAGTACACGTAACGTAGTTCAAACCTGTATCATGTAATACTCATAACCCGAACTTAGGAGTATGATAGTCATTCGAAAGTCGTTGGACAAGATTAAGAGTTGATGTCATGGCGGAATGAAGTACTATTTCGTAACTATTTTTAAAAGCGTGTTGATTAGTGTTTCATGCCGTTTCTTTGAAAACTCATAGTCACTTATGTTTCATATTTCGTAGCCTAAATAGTTGATTTATCTAAGTACGTTGTTACGCGTTTTGGAAATGTTATTTGTCAGCATAAACACATTACTCATAAGTTCAAGAGAAAGTAAAGGCTCCTAGCTAGAAAGTTGCAAATACCTCTTATTGCGTTTACCTTGGTGACTCGAAAGCATCGAAGAAACCAGGCGAACACAGACATTCATATGGTAAGGAGTGTAGAATGTCAGGTAATGTATCAGAGCTTTAGTTTGCAGTCACCATTTCAAGCACGTGATTCAAGCTATACCAGTTTGTTTGCCGTTATAACAGGTGAGAATTATCACAATAAACAATGTCAACTACTAGACAGTTCATTTTGTTGCTATCCTTATTAGTACTTTAATCAATAAACTTTCCAACAAAAAATTCACGTTTGCTCATGGATGAAAGTAACAAAGAAAATGTATACATGGAAACGAGAAAATTTTAACACCATTACTTACCTGTAAGCCTTCCATTTGTGTGGTACATGTATCACAATCATTTTGTACTGTGGTAGGATAAAGTAATGCACTAGCCAATTCTGAAGTGGTCGCACTAGTCATAAGACCGGCGAAATTCACACCGGCTGTAATATGCTTAACTATGTATGAAGAATTTGGTTGATTCAAAGCTAAATCCATATTTAAACCACTGTACACCCATAGTAAAAGCGTTTCAGTGACACCTTGAAGAAAATAACAATGATAAGTACTGTTCAAAATGAAAACATGTAAACTGAAACACTTTAAATGGCAAACAGAAGAAAGGAGTTCGAAAAACACTTGGTTTTCATAATTCGAAAAGTTAGTTAAACTGCTGATAGCCATCGACAAGTTGATTGGATGTGTTGTGAAAAAACCAACTACAAGTTGCTGTCATACCATGGTCTCCATTTCATGCCTTCTTACCGAGAATTCCGTATCAAATTTCCTGCTAACTGTTGCAACATGCTGAGATTCACAGCTGTAAAACGATGCTCCCTACTGTTTTTATTAAATAATTATAAACGATCTGACAAGTACACCATACAGTAAGATCCACTCTTTGAATAGAGACGCGTGTTAAGGATGGTACACATGACTTGACTAAGTACAGAAAAATTGTCAAATTTGAAATCCAGAATAATACTTGACATCGTCTAAGAAAGATACTATGTAATGAAAATAATCTCAGTTTACCCATCTTTTGCCTGAGATTTAACGAAGCCAACCAACCCTACAACCCGAGTAAATCAATTTCTACAAGTGTAACCCAGAATAAAAGCTGCTGGCAAGTGAACTGAAAACGACCTGTGAAATGAGTGCGAATAGTATTAGCAAGCAAAAGTCAACAGAAGTTATAAAATGTCTAGTTCTTGCACAAAAACGAGACTTCAGAAGCTTCAGTTTGATTACGATTAAGTATGGGTTTAGATGACAGACCTTATGAAGTGTAAACCACAAGAAAGCAAGATTTGTTCACATAGCTCATTTTAAAATCTACTGGATGGAGGTGAACAATGCAACCAGGTAGAATGAAAACATCACAAAATGGGGAAAGAATTATGAAGTCACTTTCCACCAATGTTTTCGGTTGCTCGAAATAAAACTACAGATGACACGACGTAATGACAGAGATCTAATAACTCTGATTACAGGTTTCAGAAAGTTTCTAAACACCTAAATTAGTATTTATAATAATGACCATAAAGTTTAAGGTTTCAACCAAAAAGTTTACAATAATTAATTTTTGTTTACAAGTTAACAAAAGTAAAGTATACCTTGATATAGATTTCGATCGGTGCAGTACAAAAAAGCTAAGCCTTGTGCCAAATGAGTACTAACGGTATCCAGTGAATCAATCCATCTGAAATAAATTATTCATCGAAACATTTGTTACTAACTAAATATTATGCGAGATTTTTTTCGTGAAACAAAATTTTCCAATACACTTTTATACACTATGAACAGTCTTTGAGTTAAGGAATAAATCTCTCAGAATATTACTCGTATTAATTCAGCAGTTGAGTGGCAGTTCATCTGCTGAAACTTAAGTTCCATCTCAAGTGTGCTGAAAGCCCTACGAAACAACTCTGTTTACGAGTATTAAAAATCAGATAAAGTTAGATGAGATTCAAATAAAACTGGAGATTTCCTTCTCTTTCATGAAAACTACTTGTCTATGTTATCACATAATGGCATTTTATGTAAAGTTAACACAGCAGTAGAGGTATGGGTAATTAATTTACGTATGTTTCGAATCCCAACCCAACTGCTAGCTCTTAGGTAAATTCGTAGTTGCGTTAACGCTTGTATCTTATATCTGGCTCATATAATGGCATATAAATCTCTACACAGTTGCTGGCTTGTGTAGTATATATTTACGGTTGTTGTTAATTTGCATGCGTGCCGAAGATCAAATAAAGGAATCTAATCTCAATCATAGTTTCTCACATTCATGAGCCAGTGAGGAGTGCAACAACTACGATGAAGTTGTAGCTCAGTGGTTTAGGGAAATGAGTACCAACCATTGGGCCACGAGTTCGAGCCCCGCCCAACCTACCGTGGTTTGGGGAGACAGTTAGTACCGCTAGCGCTCACATAACAGGTGAAGCCCATTGCCTAATGCACGAATGTGCATAAGGTAGCTGAGTGAGCGCTTGCAACAACTTCAGCTCCAAGTACGGATGCGAAAACTGAAATGAACTAAACTTTCTAGTATGACAGCATAGAATCCCTAGACCATTACTTTGAATTCGGCTTCGAACTGGAAACCAGCAATATAACCCTCTTGAATAATTCCCATGTTTGACTAGTAAGCATCTGTTCAATCAGCTGTGAAACTAGTACAGATAAACAAATCACTGTATTCAGAGATGTCATTCTCAAACCATATGACTTAAATGGAGATTTTTAAACAACTATCCTGCCTGCCATCAAACACTGGGAAACAGTTCAAAGAAGTAAATGCAAAAGTCAAATACAAGTTTACATGTACTTTCAGGCAGAACTAGTATGATACCTCTATACTCTTCACAATTGTTATCACACGTTTTATGCACTGCAATATGAACCACCGTTAGTAAAAAATTCTTTAGAAAAACGCGTAAGAGATTATGAGATCATAAAACTCAGAATTTTACTCACTCCTCATGAAAACCAGTGCTTGATTCAGAGCAATATTTCTTCGTCATTGTAACAAGGAAATCCGCAGACTGACTTGCATCAGTCCAGTCATCTGGAGGAGGTAACAAATTTATGTTTGATTCTACTTCAACTTCATCAGAATTCCGATGAAACACTTCGTTTTCTGAAGGCAACTGATCTTTACTAGATGCACGTTCTAATAGCCAATAATGGAGCTAGTGAAAACAAGTAAAAAAGATTCCTCTGCAACTATTTTTAAAAATTAAACTAGCTGTTCAAGATCCAGTCCTTTAATCCGTTTCTCAGTTACATCAGCCACTGAAATAATTTTATTTACCAGATAACAATGTTAAAACGAAACATGATCAATCAATCATTATCAATATAGGACCAGGCATTACTGCGTAACGGTCCGAGTTGCCACACCTCACGTCAGTTCATCAAGTAGATCAAATCAAACTAACATAAAATTGTGCTCCAGCACAGTATCCAAGTCTTACTTAGGTGTTCATTTATTTCTGCATTATCAATTGTGACAAAATGTAGTAAATTAAATAGGCTAGGGACTAGGTTCTATGACACGAAACACTACTTACTATAAGTAATATTGAGCCATTCACATGTCATTAACACACCCTAATCAAAAAGCGTTTGAAATAACAGACTACTGTTTCCAATACTCAACAGAATGGCAAATACTTATTTCACTAACTAGTTAAGGGTTTACACACTAGTTTGTTAGCCATAAATCAACAAAGCATCACTCTACAAACGATACAGAAGGAAAATGAGTGATTGCATGTTTTGCTACTTACCTCGAATAAGGTTAGTGTGGGATCTGCAATCCGATGGAATTCACAAGAGAATCCATTGGTATACTGGTTTATTAAATCAAATGGATTGAAACGCCACTGACAGGAGGAAATTTGAGATTCGATCTCATTGACTTCTTCAATATTTGACTGCTGATCACCAATCTGAAAATAATCAAGTGTCAGTATTTGATTTCAGGATATAAAAATACAAGTGGAAAAAATAGTTCCAGGAATTAGTCAACACTGCATGACGTACGGTATAATTGATCGCGTAACAACACCATGACAGAAATCAAAAGGATACTTCAACTTCGGAGGTAATATTATACTGCTGGCTGCACCGCAATGCCACGACAGTTGTATTACTTGCTAGCAAGCACCCTGGGTAACTTTACCTTCACAGGAATTGACCTATTCCCTGGAGGTCATCCGGTAGACTTGTAAACGATATTGTCCTGCCAGGTGAAGATGCCAACAAAATACAGAGTCTTCTGCACACGCTGAGCGGAAATATGAATATGTTTGGCATGCATCTCGCATCTACTTCCAGTTTAATGATAAGAAGTGAAGTCGTTGAATACGTCGACCACTTCACTTACTTAGGGAGTTACATCGGCCGGAAAGGGTGGGTTGACGACAAAATCCTAGCTCGGGTACAGAAGGCCCGTCTGGCACTTGCCAACTTGCGTTATCTGTGGCGCCGGTAAAGATATGCCACTATCTATCAAATGTCTGGTATACTGCGCTGCAGTCCTGCCATATAGACGTGAGGTATGGCCATTGAAAGCAGAAGACACGAAGCGGTTATCGAGTTTTGATCACAGATGTCTTTGTGGAGCTGTTCGCGTTTAGAAGAATCACGGTGTGAGCAATGTTGAGGTCAGGCGAAGGGTACTAGGCAAGAAAGTCAATTCGATTGATGAGGTTGTGAATCTTAGTCGACTCAGATGGCTCAGACATGTACTGTGCATAATAAAGCCACTGTCTGCCTAGAAGTGATATGCTAGGGGAAACTGCAATAAGTTGGAAGAGGGTTCAGAGTGGTCAGACCAACACCTGACACCAGTCGATGAAGTGTATTACTGCTGGTCTGAGTTGTGTGAGATGTAGACTACCTGGTTAGGGTCCCCAAGACGATACGAGTTAGTGGTTCAGAACTCTTGGTGACATGCCTGGAAATCGGTCATGATGGCTTGGATGAATATTTGAACTAAGCGTTATCTTCAAATTGTTTATTCTCTCAACACAACTTTGTCTGCTTTCATTTCACTCTTTTTCTATCCCTGTTCTTTGTATACTACTGTAAAGTGTAGCAACTTGAACCGGTGTACTTGTGTGTGACGTTCTACGCAGATTTTGTCTACATGTCTGCCTAGCAACCACCAATTGTAATGAAGCTGCTTATCTGTTTTCGGAAGGAATCGTTATAAAATCTAAGTTAATAAAGCGACGACGCAACAGTAATATTAAAATAGCTATACAGTTCTAGTACAACCGAAGCCATTGAAAAATAACTATTTCCTGAAACAACGTGATCAATCTCACACTCATGTTGGATAATCCATAGTAATTCTGTCCCATCTATAAACACCTCAAAAACTAGAAAACAGGGGAATCTCATTAAATGCCCATACTGTGCAAGTATTTCTTGAAAATTATCAACTATCTTACCGATCTCCCTCTTCTTTTTCCTTGCATAAGTTAGTTACGGAACCTACGATACTGCCTTGAACTCTTGAGATCTGCAGAGTTGCTAACCCTTGGTTTCTTGAGATCCCACCCCAAACTGAGTGTTGGGACCTTCGGTGCTCTGAACTAGTGTCAAGAGAAAATAGATTGCTACCTACTTTCACCAAGTAGTGGATGTGTGTTGTTTCTAAAATATGTATAAAAGGCCAAAGTGTGGTGTCAAAAGAAAATGAACATCAAGGTAGAAACTTGTACAAGAATGGATCAGTTCATGTAACTACACTTCACAGATAGAGGAAGTTAGATGATAGTGATAGTGAGATAAATTAGCATATAGATCTACACCAGTGAGATCATCCTCATGTATAAGGAAACACTGTCTTACGTGGCACCCGTCGACACCAAACCAACGATAGACACAAATAGATCCTATTGCTGTAAGTCATCGTTGGAGATTAGTGGGGGTACCTGTTTAGATTCCAGTCACGCGTTAGCATGAGCACATGTATGTTTACCCTTACTGGTTAAAGGAAATAGGTAATAGTACAGCCTGTCTATGGTCGACTGAAAGATGAGGACACGAAGTACGTGTTTAGGTAGCAGTTAGCAAAGAATTCATCTGAAGGTGATAAAAATGCTCATCCTGAGGGAAGCTGGCGTAAAACAGTTGGAAATCTGCAATCAAATGTTGGCAAACGTCAATGGATTGCCGCAACGTTATCCAAACTGATTGATGCGAGAAGACTTCATTCCAGCTGGCTCTGACAGCAATGAAGACCGAAACCTTGAACGTAAATTGGCCAAAAGTCTTCACGTTGACAGCAAGCAGTGGTGGGTGACGAAAGCGAGAAAAATGGAGAAGGCATCAGCGTTAGGTAGTACACAGTAACTATTCGGACTTATTAAGGATACCGGCAAGAAGAAACCGATGGTTAGTGAATTCATCACCGAAAAGGATGGAACACTGATAACCTCACAGGACAGACGGCTAAAACGTAGGGCAGAACACTCTGAAGCATAGTTCAACCAGCCCAAAGATACACTCCAGTTGTCCAACACTGAGCCCGAACCTGAATGGGATCTACATATCGGTACACCAACTCTACGTGGATTTTGTCTATTTTCGGCCAGCACTGATTTCAGACACCAGAGGTATTGCTTGGTGTGGCGTCGACAGACCTTAACTCAACAGTACACAGTTAGATTATATTGCTACCACTTATCGCTAGTGTCAGCGGAACATTGCACTTATTATGTGGCACAATTTGGACATTGATCAGGCATTGGTGGGAGCATGGGTGTCTGCGCCTAATTGGAGGTACGAAGACTGAAGCTGTAAGATAGACTATGATGAAGTCGCTTAGCCAGATGATGAAACGTCCAAGAAGAAACGTCAATTCTAGAAGATCAAACAATTAGTTTCTTCATCCTGAGCTGCGTATCTTCTCTATTATCCCAAGAGGCTTCAGGTATTCGAACACCGTTGATTTGGTAGCGGTGGCTGTTTGTCGTTATATTACCGCAACAGTAAGGTGGGAGTCAGACGTAGAGGTTCAGGAAGGTGAGAAAAATCAGTCGATGAGGGTTCATAATCCATCGATTGAAATGACCAGGACATGGGTTATGCATGCCTAGTCACCATCTGCCTAGTTGATCAACGTCATATGAAGTAGGCCGAAGTTTAAAAAAAGGTAAGAGGCTACCAGACTAAAACATGACATTGTTGTATGAAATCTCCGACTGCTGATTTGAGCCATGTGGTGAAATGTAGACTTTACAGGTACGGTGACAACAGAAACCGGTGATTGGAGACTGGGTGGCATGCTGACACTGACTGACTGACTTAAAGCGATGCAGTGTTTGTGATTATTACAAGCGCTAAACGGTAAAAGTGAAAGAGGTGGAGAAGGCATCAGCATTACATAGTAGTCGACAACTACTTGGGTTCATTAAGCATACCAACAAGATAAAAACAACGAACAAGGACACTGAAATCGATAAAGTTGGATTGATAACCTGAAGGAACAGGATGACGGACCGTTAAGCAGAAAACCTTGAAGCACAGTTTAACTGGTCTACAACCACGTTTCAGTCCCCTTACATATACTCCGAACATGAAAGGAAGGTAAATGATGGTCTCGCAACTCCCACTGAAGTTGAGGTGGTTGTTTCAAACCTGAAATGATGCAAAGCAGCAGGACCTGACTGATTGTCATCAGCTTTTAAGAATGGTTAAAAACTGCTAAGCGAGTAAGGGGGAACACAGGTAATGCTGTCAGACTGGTCTACATCGTGCTCACCACTCCAGCTTAGAAGAAAAGATATAAGTCTTGGTATGACAAATATAATGAAACTATTTTGACCTAAATCGTGTCAAAGACCATAAGTTTCAGTTTCATAGTCGTTTGACGCCTTATCAGAGCTCAGGACCAAGAAGCAGACAAGTTTCAAACTTCGATAAGGATACATTGAGCAGGCCTTCACTCCTTGACAGGTTTCGGAATACACCCATGCTGCTGACCGAGGTGTCGTAGTAGTGTCCGACTGAATGAAGCACTCAGCTAGTACTTAATGCTAATTAGAGCTTTACTCGACCTCACACAAATGTGTGACGGCTTACAGAAAGTTGTCATATGAAGTAAAGATAATCGGAACCGTCTGCCAAGAATACTCCCTGTCACCGTTTTTATTTATCGTTGTTAAAGATTTGCTGATGGACACAACTATAGGTACCTCCAACTTCTCAAGAATTAACTTACTACTCGGAAGGAACTCGGTTGACCTGGGGTATGTAGTCCATATAATCCTGTAAGGCAGAGATGCTGGTCATAGACGCCTTCATAGCATTGCTCGTACGTGATAAAATCAAGGCATGCAGAGCAGTAGGCAAGGACGGTAAGTTAGTCAGTGAGGTTCTTAACAATTACTGAACGAGTTGGCTACATGTCACGCATGCTGAAACACTATTCGGCTTGACCTATAACACTAGTTGAAGTAGGTCTGGCTTGGAAGAAGGCTTAATGTGGCCACATGAAGATGCGGTATTAATTCATATAGCCTAATTGTTGGTCTGAACCATGTAGAGAGATGAAGGTTGCCTAGGTGAAACGACAGGAGTTAAAGAATTTTTGGTAGGGGTCAAAATTACTAGTAACGCGGATGTACTTACTACTTGTAATCTTCAGTCTTGAACGTCCCCATTAACCTTCATATATTTATGCTCTGTCTTCTCACATACTTTTATCAACTTTTATTTCAATCGTTTTCTTTGAATACTACTGTGAAACATGGTAACATGAACTAATACGGACCCTGCACTCATGTCTTTTACATGCACTCGTCATATTGCTAGAAATAGGTACCCTTAGTAAGTTACTCTCGATCAAAATTTCTTATTCTTGTTGCGACTCCAAGGACAATCGTACAGGAATGAAATATGCATTTATTTGGAAGAATGATCTTTAAGAAGCTGATTTCTCCTCGATACTGCTTTGCTAAATTTTAGCGCAAGTTTAAGACTTTTAAACACTTATTCGAAATAAACAATGCAATACGGAAAACAGAAACAGTTGCTTACCTCCAAATTTTCGCTATCATCAATCTCAGAGAATAGTTCCTCATTTGAGGATATTTCTTCGTAATCAACATCCTACACATAAAATGAAAAAAATCACGTAATGCAAGTAAAATGTGCGGTCGATCGTAACTCTTTGATAGCTGAAGCTTGGACAGTCAATTACCTTGATTTTCGAATTCCATGTATACACCCTACCTACTTGTTCTTTGCACGCTACTGTAAAATGTAGTAACTTGGAATGATGTACTTCTGTGCAAGGTCAGGTTGATTTTATTCTCTGTATATATATATATATATATATATATATATATATATATATATATATATATATATATATATATATATATATATATATATATATATATATAAGGTTGGAAGTTGCATCAAAACTATGAGGCCACAACTCTACTGAAGATTTTTCAACTGAATATCGAAAACTGTTACACATTCCAAACGGATATAATACGCAGCTAACTCCGTACGCAAGAGCCACCGACTCCAACCTGGGACGAATAGAGAAGACCGAAGCTGGATGGGAGAGTTATTCGCCCGAGGATAATAATCAATTAGTTCAAAAACACGTGAGTATGCATAAGCATGAAAAATGACCTTGTCCGCAAATTGAAACATTAACATAGTAAGAGTAAGGACTAACCAATCACCGAATTACATTACAAAAGGGGTATAGAAAATGAACTACTATTCATGCTGTAAAAAAGTGTGAGAACGACAAGTTAAAAAATATTCAGATTAATAGCGTTTTATGCAAAACACATCCCCTTTTTGAAAAAAGAATAACATGCAGTTGGAAACGAACTGTTTAAGATCGCTTCCGATCAGCATAGTTTCTGGGTAGGGGCTCCTTGTTGACATCGGTTTCGGGTTCTTTCAGCGTCGTTGGTAAATTAAACGCATCCAGTACAATATCGTGTGGTATGGTTGGATTCTCTAGTTGGGTGGGTTTTCTGTGACGCATCTTATTTTTTGCATCTCGCCAATTTCTCGTGACCCACCTGTACATCGTATATCACACTCCCGCGTCTTCCCATGGCAACACCTTCCGTCTATATCTCATGTCTTGATCTATAGTCTTGTATGTAGACGCGATCTCCCTTGCTGAAGTGTGATAGGACTGTTGGCGTTGTTTATGCACGACGTGATGGTAACAAGGCATGATGTGGCGTTTGTAGCTTCCTTCCCATTACAACTTCCGTCAGGGATTTCGATCTGGTAGGGTATCATTTAGTGTTGAACGACAGACGGATAGAAATTGTTGTATGACATGCGTATCTTCTTCTCCTCTTTCTGCTTTAAGCAGAGCTCGCTTAAAGGCAATAATCAATATTTCTGCTTGGCCATTGGATTGCGGATGGTATGGTGATGTACAAATATGATCAACCGCATTCACATAGCAAAACACGGCAAACTTGCGGGACGTGAATTATGATCAACTACCTGAAACAATGGTCTCGGGTAACCCATGGCAGATGAAAATATTTGTAAGAGTAGCAATTATTCAGTGTGATGTACGCGATACTGAGACGATCGCAAGCCACTTGGAATAAGAATCAACAACAATCAGATAGTAGGTTCCATGTAATAGACCTGTGAAGTCGATATGGATTCTAGCCCAGGGTCGGTCTGACAATGGCCAACTCTTTGGTGGGAAACGTGGAGGATTCTTAGCTGCCTTCTGATGAGCAGAGACCGACGAATTCAGTTATGTCAGAATCTATATTGGGACAATAAGCATAGCTTTTAGAGATGGCTTTCATATGTTCTATTCCTGGATAACCAATAAGAAACTATTTTAGGGCTTTTGCACGAAGATACCAGGAGACCACTACACCTTCTACAAATATGAGGCAGTTGCCGATGATACAAAGGGATTCTCTTCTGCAGAACAGTTGTTTCAGGTCACCAGTAAACGGTTTTTGTGGCAATTTCGTCTGAAAATAGTACTTGCAGAATTAGTTTCCCACTTGAGTCGACGTGACAGGAAGCGCGCGGACTGCAAAACCCAGTAGACAAAGTGCATAATCTTTTGTGGATACTAATGTGATCACTATGTCTTCATTAGGTGTAGGATACTCACTTATAAGCCTTGAAAGTGCGTCTGCATGTCCAAAGTCATCCGTTCGGTGAGATTTAATGTCGAAATCACAGGCCAACAATGTTACCACCCACCGTTGTGGTCTGTTGGCGGAATGAGCTGGAACACCGCGTTTTGACCCAAAAACTGAGAGGAGGGGCTTGTGATCGGAGAACAAGGCGAATTTCCGTCCATACATCTTGTGAAAGCGTTTGACCCCAAAACCGAAGGCGAGTGCTTCCTTCTCTATCTGTGGGTAGTGTTTTTCCCCCCATGAAATCGACTCTGAAGAGGTTCTCGTATCGTCGAAACCATGTATTAAAGGTGATGTTGGCATATGGATTGTATACAAATTCCGAAATGCTGGAACCAATTTTGTCATCCGAAAAAGGTAGAGTGGATGTAGATGGAGTCACGCGCAGAGAGCAGTCCCATCACCTTTAGTTGCTGTCCAAACGATTTTCCTAATCACCGTGCATCCATTTTTAACACCCATCACTAACTGTTATATATTTCGAACGGACATAATAAAAACTAATTCGGAAGAACTTCAACCTTCCAGTTTGTAATGTGACTGAAAGTATGGGACCATAAGAATCCCATAGCAATGCTAGAGTCATACCAATGAAGAATAGCTGGATATCTTTGTATTAATAGTCTATCAAGCCCCTGGGTTTGTATAACTGCATTTGATAGGACCTTCCAGGTTCAAGAACGGATTTTATGCGCACTTTACCATATATCACCTTCAGAACTATAACATGAAGATTCTCATATCACTAATTAAAATATAATGTGAATAATTTCTCTGAAAATTCTACACTTATGAAGTGAATTTGTTCATTATAATACAGGAAAATTTCATTTTATAATTCTAGATTCCGAAGACAATTTACCGAATAGAATATTCTCCGGTCATATCCCATTATAATGCATCAGTTCATCAGTACACCTATAAAATTAGAATCGCTCATGGAACTAACCACACGTTATACAAATAGACAACACACCAGGACTAACCTGGATTTCGCCATCTTCATAAAGACCAGTCGTTTCCATGTTCATTGTCTTTTGCTCATCGATCTTTTCCTCCAATTCATTCTCCACTATGGGATGAACAGATGTTGGATCAGTTACCGACTGTATTGAACAGATATTCAGTGTTTCAGTCTTCGCATAGCTTTCTGGAAGATTTGATTGAACATTACACTGCTGCCAAGTGGTAGGGACATCAGACTAAAGAAAGTTAGTACGAAAAAAAAATCAGCCTTGAAACTGCTAAAATATTTCCTTCGGATTTGTGTTTGCTCCTCATGAATCATCTTCACTAGTAACAGAAAGCCTTCTGAGTCACTGTGATCTTTATTTACGCAGCCAGAGAGTGCAAGCCAGTTAGACAAGCAACTATGATGCATACTAACAAAACATAAGCTCAAAAACAGCTGTAGCACACATCATCGTAATCCTGGTCGAAATTGTTTACCTGAGGTATGTCAACTTGAACCACTGCAAAACTATAAGAATCAAATTATTTTACTGCCTAGGCTTAAACGAATGTTGAAGTAATGATATCCAAAATAAGGGAATGACTACACTCTTCACACCAAGCAAACTGTTTGACGCTGAACAAGTTCCTGAATCGTAAGAAACTCTCAAACGATATGCACTGGCCATAAATAATGCTGTTCAACGCGGTGACGGTGCTATTTACTAAGTTATAAGTCACCCGTTGTGTGAAGGTTTATGGTAACTCCTAGCAGTCCAGGCCGAAGTACAAGGACTGAAGTTGGGCCTGTTACCCATTTCTTGGTCGATGAGATTGGGAACCTTCATCGACTAAGGTGGGGTGGAGATGTACTGCGCATGCTGAGCCAGCATCTACCTCGAATTACCAAGCTGGAAGTTGGATTGGGTTGCAAGGAGGCTGAGTGGCCAGATCAAGACGAGGCACCAGCCCATGAAGTCTCGGACTATTGGTCTTAGTCATACAATGTTAGACTACCTGGCTGGAGTCCCAGAGATGAAAGGAACCACCGGTTGAGGACTATTGGTGAAATGGCTGGAAATCAAGGACTATGGTCAGATGCATTCACTTTTTGGTATCTTCTAAAGCTTGGATGTGTTGACTAACCTTAACGTTTAAATTCCCTCTCTTTCCGTATACCTTTACCTACTTTAATATCAGTGTTTCCTATCCACTTTTTCTTATCCACTGTATACCACTCCAAACTAATTTTAGGCAAGTAAAGGATTAAAAATGGTAATTTCTAAGCTGCAAGGAGGTGAGTGGTGCATCCAAATAGAATTCTACAGATATTGTTAACATCTAATTCATTTAAATTATCGCAACGAACAAAAGTATTTAATGACAAGAACTCCTGGCAAATTCGCGACATACGGGTAGCTAATGACTAACCAAAAACTCACATTTTGTTCCGTTTGGATTTCTGGGACTTTGTTTGGAGCATAGAACATAGGGGTAGCTAAGAACAAAATCAGTAAAAAATGCACACGAATTAATACTTGTTTCAACACATCCAAGAGTAATTCCAATTGTAGGAGGAGGAATTGAAAGGTTAGTAGCTGGAGCTAATGACTGGACTGACAGTGACATAGGAGGCAAACCAAAGAGAGCCACAGTTAGGGTCGAGTACATACCACGGAAAAGCAGAAAATTTGACTGAACTGGTTTCTTGAAATAAATCGTATTAATTCCCAGTTTTTCATTGAATTGATATCTATGAATAAAATAGGGGGTGAATGCGGACTTACTTGACAACATTCTGCAATACAATGCAGTTGATCTGACTATTACTGTATATTTTAATGTCGAAAGAAGCTGGGTTTGTAGCTCTGCACATAAATATACGTTTACCCGATTTCGACTCACCCCAAAAGTGGTTCATCAGAAAGGTTGCTCTCAACAACAGACCCAAATGGAAGAATACATATTTTAACTAGTTCAATCCCACTTTTAAACCTGACACAGTCAACGCTTTCCTTTAAAAATCATACTTAAAGCCAAATTAATTGCACTACCTGGTTTAGTCTATTATGAGTAAAAGTATCGAAAAACACAATAAGCGGGCTTGAAACCATTATATAGGTAAATGAGACGCTTGAGCCAAATGACCCGCCTTATGCCCTACAAATCAAATCCTGGAAGAATGAATGGGAGGTTCCTTATGTTTTACTTCTGCGTTACGACAATTGAATCTTTAGTGAAAACTTCCACCTCTTGTTTTTTGCTATCAGAGCTCTAAAACAAACAAAGGAAAACATTAAGGTTGACTTATTGTCCTACTTGGCACTCATGAAGAAACTCAGGAGGATGACATTGCCTTACGATACTGCGAGTCTGTCCCAGCGGTTCAGTGGCAGGAGTCCGATTCCTGTTCGAAATTGAAGCCATGAAGTAGTTAATAGTAGTAGCACATCGAATACGGCAAGAAAGCTCAAAATGGCTGGAAACCATACAACCTCAATATATTTTTATTTATTATTATTTGTCCCTTGGGTTCCTAATGGAACATAGGGCTTCAGTAACACGTCTCCAGTGAATTCTGTTCTCTGAAATCTTTCCAACCCGGCTCCACGACAGCCCATAACCTCTCATTTCCTCCTCACACGATCTCTTCCATGTCACCCTCAGCTGGGACGCCCAACTCGTCGTTTCCCATCTGGGTTCCACTCGAGGATCTGACCTGTCGCGTGATGTCCCAAGTCGGTCTTCTCAGTGTATGCCCAATCCATCTCCACTTCCTTTCATTGCATGTTTGTCGACCTATGGGTTCTTGGTTGGTTCGTTCCCAGAGCACCTTGTTGCTTATTCTTACTATTCTGGACATCTGAGCTTCAGTAACGAGCCAGCGTAGACAGTTGTTGATGAATGTCTGTAGTTTGTTGGAAATGCCTTTCGTAACGCGCCAAGTCTATGAGCCATACAGAAGCACTGACTTGACGTTGGTGTTGGAAATCCGGATCTTGTTCTTTGTTCTGAGTGCAGAAGATCTCCACACTGGTTTCAGGTTAGTGAAAACCAGTCTCGCTTTTCCAATTCTGGCTTTAATGTCTTCGTCTGTGCCACCTGTAGTTGAAACGGTGCTGCCTAGATAGGTGAAAGAGGCTACTTCCTTTAAGTTTCTCCGTTGATAGTGATTGTAGCTTGTTGTTGTTGGTGGTGGAGTTGGTTGGGTGTCTTCATCACCTCCATCTTCTCAACATTGACTTGAAGTCCCGTCTTCGCTGCCCTACCTCTTCTGTTAACTTGTTAGTTTTCGCCTGTAGATCTTCAAGTTTGTGTGACATCAGGCACAAGTCATTGGAGACATCGAAGTCTTCTAAGTTCTTTTCCGCGGTCCAGCGTGTCCCCCTCTCCCCTTCTCCTCACTGTTTGTTGCATGATCCGGTCGACCACGATCAGGAAGATCATTGGTGATAGTAGACAACTTCGATTCAAGAGCTATTTGAAGTGGTCTGCCCATCGTTTCCTTTGCTTCTCTTCTTTCGCAATTAAATTTCCATCACCATCTTTTGATGGTTTCATCTGTGTTGATCTCTCGCCTCCCAGATAGTAACCTGGTTATTTGATATAATGTTGTCAGGTCTCTGTCTCTCCTACCAGCAACGTGTTATGCTTCACTTGTCAGTGTGTCGTGGAAGTGTCTTTCGTCTTTGCGTGCACTCCTCTTCACTTTTTTGTCCAGTGTAGTGTTTTATACGTCGTACTCAGTTCCTCTTCTCGCCGTTCATCCTTGCACTGCTTTATCTGCTTTACCATCCTCCTCTTCATGCTCTTTCAGCTTCCATGTGTCCATCTAGATCCATTCCTTATCTTCTTCCTTCTTCCTTCCTAATACGGTTATGCAGGTTTCTTTCCACATAGCTTTCAAAGACTACCACTGCTCTTCCATACAGTTTTCGTCAGAGATATTTTCTCGATATCTCCCATTTTGTCTTGATGGCTGCCGTGAAGATTTCCTTTGTAGTTTCGTCCTTAAGTTTCCGAGTGTTGAACTTGAACTGCGGTCTATCACCAGCTTCTTCATCGAAGGCTCCTAACCTGATTTCTAAGGTTCCTTCCATTAGATAGTGGTCGGAATCTGCATCTGCTCCCCTACTTGATGTGACCTTGTATCAAGCAGGCTGCGTCTCCACTTTCTTGAGATTGATATAAAGTCGATCCGATTTTTAGTGTATCCTGGTGTCTAGTGAAATCCATGTCGCTTTGTGGATGTCCTTGTGCTTGAACACAGCGCTTCCAATCACCACATCTTTGAGTGCACAGAATTCTGCAAACAATTCCCCATTCTCGTTCATTTCACTGAGCGCTTCTTGGCCCCTGGTTGTTGTGTTGTGTTGTGGTTGTGTTGTCCGCTCCCAGTTTGGCATTCATGTCGCTTTTAGAATTCTGATATCGCCAACTGAGGTCTTGTCTAGTGTTGATTGCAGTTGTTTACAGAACTCCTTTTCCTCTTCATCTGGATTATTTGTAAGTGCATAGCATTGTATGATTGTGACTTTCCCTCCTTTTGAGTTGGACCTTGCTGTCATGATCTTGGAGGGGGTTGGTTCCCACTGTACGAAAAAGAGTCTTCGATGCCCTTCAAGGGGACATCATGATAGCCACTCCATAACTCAGTGTGCTCGTGGTTGTCGTCTGGATGACAATATCGGAGTAGATTATCGACTCTGCAGTTGACAGTTTGCAGAGTTCATTCCCATTCCACCTGCTTTCTCAAATTCCTAGCACTTCAATGCTATACCTTCCCATCTCGTTTGCAATCTGGGCTGCCTAGCTGGGTTCAAGCATGGTGCGGACATTCCATGTCCCCACGTTTACTTTCGCTTTCATCGAGAGAAGACACATCGGCCAATTGGCCTGCCGAAAGCTTTCACCAGCTGGCGTCATTTCGCCTCCCTGACTCCAGCGAGGAATAATTTTGTTTTCATTGTTTGTTTTTTGTTTGTGCTTTGGAGTTTTTTTTAGCGGTTAGATTTGTTTTACGGGGTAGGGTCGCTAGCCCTATGCCCAACCTTCCCTCTTTACCCCGGCTTAGGACCGGCTAGTAACCAGTGAACTAGTTAACCAGGTGAGGTTACCTCAATATATGCTTCAGAACACTGACTGACTACCTCTGAAATATTTCAGTGCCAACCGGTGGTGGCTGGTATTCGTTGTGCCTGACAGATATGAAGCCGATGGTTCACTATCTCAGGGACAATGGAGCAGAAGCAAACGTCCATTCTAAAACCTTTTTTAAAGAGTGTCGGAAAACGGTGGTTAGTTTGAATACGATAAGTGGCAGTCCGATAGCGAGCTTTGGTAGAACTCGTGCAGGTCTTTCCACTGGATGTTCTTTATTACGGATATCTCATTGTTCATCGATGCACAAAACTACTTAGTCATTGCGACCTGCTCATGCGGAACATTACGAAGTTATCGGTTTGTGTGACAATCATGGTATGCCGAAGATTATCGTCAGTTGAGTTAAATTTGCAGTCGACAGTTTCCAATTAGCCGGAATCAGTTCAACCCGTGTAGGCATTACCACATGCAAACAGTGCTGCCGTGCGTGACTCTACAACCACAGGACATTCTGGTTGTAACGGCAATTAATTCCCAGAACCAACAGCCTTCAGTTGAGCGAGACTCAGCTTCGATGCTGATATTCCTGGTTTCAGCGGAGTGGTTAAACTGGACGCGTACAATAAACATCCACGCGACTTGGTACGCCATCGTATTACCTTGCCGTGCTCGTACCCGATCCTGTAGTCAAGCTAGCCTGTATATTGTCACGATTCACCTGGCTATCTGCTTCGTGTTGCCACTGTATTCCTTTTTGGTCTTGTCTTCGTTAGCAAGCGTGAAAAATTACTGGTTAACCTTTAGGTTTGTCAAGATCACCCAAGCGCATGAAAAAATACTTCTGGAAGAAATAACGCCCCTGAAGCAGCTAACAAAACATCTTTTCAGCCGTTTGAACCGTTCCGACATGCCACTGAAAACAATGGTATATACCCGCTGAAGTGGTATGGAGGATAGCCAGGCCCGCCCATGAGCAACAGTTGTGAAGCCACTCCCACTTTCAAATGTTCGGTGAAGCATTATCCAAATTTCACCTAACCCCATTTCTCTTGTGAAGTCACTCCATGATTTTCGTCGTCAGAACATTATATGAGTAATTTGAGATGCTGTGCCTAGAAATGCATCCACTGGGTCCAGGCAGTCTATCTCAAATGGGACGGTGACATATCCTGGCTAGATCTTAACCCTGATTATCGCCATCTACCTATTCTACCGGGGGGCTAGGTCTGACAGCGACTTCTTTACATAGGGATACAACTTTATCTTCTATCCAGAGTTAGTTCAGGTCAAACCCATGGGTTACTCTGGAAATGTCTAGCCCTGAAATTATTATTAACAACCAAATAATAATAATTTATTCCTGAATTTACAGGTGCATATCATTTTTACAGATACGGTCATAACAATTGGTGGTGGAAAATCTTCGGTAATACTCAAGACAAAATTTTTTACCCTCTCCTTTTCACCCCAGGTAGCGGAAATCCACAGCCAGAAAGAAAGAAAACGTGGCACCACATACAGACAGTGCGCTTAGAGTTAAATTTTGAATTTTTGTTATACTTTTGGACTGTCTGGCAGAAGTGAGTCATATCTAATGAATATGTAAAAGCACCACTCAAAAAGTAGAGAAAGAAACCCAGCTTTTTCTTTCTCGAGAAAGGTAATGCCGGCTAAATTAATCAAGCGCTTTAATTTGAACGATCATGCATATTACGCAAAGTGCCTCGGCAGATTCAGTGTATTTCTCAAAGGATATGCATCTCCAGGTTCATTAAAACGTCAGGATATTCTGTATAGACAACAGGCGGTACGTTTAAAATTGTGTTACATTTTAGCGTGATTTTGTAACTGCATCATAACTTTTTTATCAACGTCATCATAAAGCTATTGAATTCTCAAATGACTAATCACATATCAGACATGCAACTAGATATGGCTAATGCATGTAAAAAGGCATGGACACAACCGTCTGTGGAACAGTGCATCAACAGTACCCAAATGTTGGTGACAC